GGCGAGGCACGGCTCGGAGGGCGCGTCGATGTCTGCGGTTTTTTTTTCCTGCTGTCAGCGGGTTCCTTGGGGAGGGGGCGTTGGTGAGGGGGAGGGGGGGAGATTACACGGGAGGGATTCGTGGAACGCGGGTGCCGCCATTGCGATTGCGGTCTGCGTGGGTGTCGCTTCGTGGACGGAGAGTCTGGCCGTGGTGGTGGTGATGGAGGAATTGGGTACAGGTGGTTCCGGCGGCTGCGGCTGCGGCTGCGCGGCTCAGCCTTGTCCCGCGGCCAATCACACGCGCGGCGCTTTGCAGAGACCGAGGCCGGAGACGGTGGGCCCAGGTGGGGGCGGGGGCCGCGGAGACGCGCTGCGCGGGAGCTAGAGGCTGCAGTGCTCCGTACGGACTCGGGAGTGCAGAGCCTACTCTGCACGCATGCGGCGGGGGGCACTCTCCAATCGCGAGGTGTGTTGTTTTGTTTGACAATGGATGCAATACAAATACAGTCTTGCTCCGCGTGGCCTTTGTGCCGTCTCTGCTTGTCCTCGACAGGGGATGGATCCGGCTCTTGGGGATTGCAAGGCGGGACTGACTGGTCATCATGGTCGGGTTGATGGTGTGCTGGCCTGATTGGTTGCCGAACGGCAACGTGACAAAACATGGTGGTGCAGCACTACACGATTGGTTGCCGTGTTGGATTCACTTTGCTGGCGCACGGTACTTTGCACTTGCACAAGGCGGAATCTGTAGTCATTCTCAGAATTCTGGCCAGCGTCATGAGACGTCATATGATAGATAATACAATGCATCCTTGGCCCACTGGGCAGATGTCTAAGCAGCAGATTCGGCTACTCGCCAGGATCCCAGATAGCCACGAGAAGAGGGTTTCCCATTATCAAACTCCGTTTCTGATATACTCTTCATCCTCCGACCTCTAGTCTCTGGTTTCATATATAAAAAGCGACTGCTTCCTGTAGTAATAGAATTTCATTTCATTTCGTGGTATTGGTACAGCGACCATGCAAAAAAAAAAAAAAAAAAAAAAAAACCAATTCGTAAAGCAACAAGGAAAAAAAGTAATGGCTATCGGGGATCTGACTGGCCGAGATGATACGACCTCATCTAGGAAGCGGACCGGCCGCTTTCCGACGAGTCAGTCTTGGAGACATCGTCTTCTTCACTGACGGGCCCGTGGACAGACTCTTCGAACACAGGCTCCGTGTCAACCACCTCAAACTTGGTTTTGAAGTCGTTGAGGTGATGAGATGCAGAGCTGCTATTAGAGCGGCGACGAGCGTTAGTAAAGGCAAAGTCATGGTCCATGACTTCGTCGGCAATGGTGCCCCTGCAGTAAAGCTCCATGTCAGTCAAGATTGATCGGGGCATGGCTACATCGACAAACGGGGCTTACATACCAATTGCCCTTGCCACTACCATTCTTCTTGACCTTTTTGGGGTCGGCATCGACGAAGCCAGCCTTGCCGAAGTAGCGCGGCAAAAACTCTATGGGAGCTGCAGTGCCCTCCGCAATGCCCTTGTGGTCACGGTCGTTGGCCTTGTGGGAGCGGGTCACTGTCACGAACCATTAGTGCTTTGTGCTGATGTCGAGGGTCTTTGGAGTATGTATTATATGCGCATCCGGCCAACGTGTTCGAATCATGCAGATAATGCCCGCCATACACGGCCGTGTTTGCTCTTGGGCTGGCGTGGGACGAGAGGTACTCACTCTTGAGATTGGTATGTTAACAAAGCCAGCAGAGTCAACTTGCGGTGCAATGAAGAAGCGGATGTTTGCCCCGCAGAATGATTTAAAGAAGATCTTGTCGACAGAGAAATGTATGTACGAGATGGGATGGAAATGGCGGAAGTGCTTAGAGTATCACACGGGTTCAAACGGAAGTTTGGGGAGTTGTTGGAAGGGGCAGGGAGGGGCAGTGGTTGTAGGCGTAGAGACGTTCAGGATGGTTCACGTTGATGGAAATGGAAGAGTGGTTGATGAATGAGAATGGTACAAAACAGATGATGAAGCTTTTGGGAGCTGGAGAAGAGAGGAGAGGAGAGGGAGGGAGTACTGTTATATCACAGAGTCACGGGAATGAGGGTGGGGACCAATCAGGGTTCTCGAGGAGTCATGAAAGAGATGACGCCAGAAAGCAAGCTTGTGCCAGTAAACAGTCAAGTCTCAAGAGTCAACAGTACGGGCCCATTCCGAGTGTGTAGAAAGTGTGCGCGTGTATGGAGTACATGAACGGGGAAGTACCACTAGGCGTACTCCGTACTCCGTCCGGAATAGGGGGCCGAGTTTAAGCAGTTTAAACACTCGGGGGGGGTGGAAGCTAATTTTGGTTGGGGCGATGAAGCTGCCGCTGCCAGGATCGTGGGCGCGGTGGTCCTGCCAAGTGGACAGCCAAACGAGGCAGCCGTCCGGCAACGCTGGCACCGGCAAGCAAGCGTCGAGACTGGCGTGGTAAACTGGCCACTCGGCGCTTCAATCTTGGTACAATCAGCCACGGCGAGGACGAGGACGGAAGTGAAGGTCGACGACTGTTTACTCATGCCGCAATGCCAGCACTAGGCTGTTGCGTTCAGCCAGCTTGCGAAGGAGCTCAGTCGTGCCTGCCTGCACGAAGTCGACAACCAACTGAGGTCGACAAGTCTGGGGCCGGAGGCAGGGAAGCCGCCAGCAGCGGAGAGTGGAGCAGGCCATCGCGTGACCAGGCGCCAGCTGTAGCTCCTAGCTCCTCCCTCTTCTCCATTCCCACGGCCAGGACAAGGCGGCCAGGGGGGAGCTCGCCAGGCTTCAATTCATGTCATGTTCGATTGCTTGATTTTCACAATGGTGCTATGCGAGGCCGCATCATCATGTTCGTCGACAGCCTGCTTCAATTGTATGCGTACGGAGTGCAGACCACGTCCATCAATTGGACCATGGACCGCGCTGCGTCGACGGGACATGAAGCTCTGTTTGCGGCAGCAGCAGCTGAATCGAGAATGAAGTGCCCCTGCATTGCATGCAAAAACACCACAGTGACCACACACGCACTGGCGGCCGGGGTCTGCCTGCGACAGCCTGCGCGAGCGTGTATGCATCATGTACCGTGTACGTTCGCGGTACAGACGGACAGCGAAACAGAAAGAAGCACACAGTAAGAGGCGCGCCCTACGTCGTGCACTGGCATTGGTTCTCCAGGACCACAGGACCCACGAGGTTCTGCTGCTGCTGGGTCCGCCGGGTCCGCCGTGGTCCGTGGACACGCACGACACGCAGCCGTGGCTGGCCCTAGCGCGGGCCAGTAACGCATTCCTTTGGCGCTTCATGTCACCGGTACTCGGCATACCCACGAGGCGCACCCTCGACTGCGGGGTAACAGAGAGTATGGGGTACGCAAGCGTTGACTGATGGGCTGATCGACTGTCAACCGGAAAACTGGTCGACCGACTGTCTCGCCACGGAGGGCATTGCGTCTCCCGCTGTCCGATGTCGCCGGCCCAATCTCTGGCGGTGACTCTTTCACATATGCCACCGTCGTTCGAGGGACATGACTTTCGCCGTTCGGACCCTGGTTGCACGCATGCTGGATGGCATGAAGCTCCGCGTGCGTGGGTCCGTCAAAGCTTGTCCGAGACCCGCAGCTCGCGTCCTTGCGGCCGGCGAGGCGGGCCACGTGATCACGAGACTCGACTCACGGACCGACCAAGCGACGTCAGAGCTCTCTCCAGCCTCCTGGGCCCGTCAAACGGCCATTGTCTTCTAAGAGTATTATCCCAGACCATGATACAATTCATAATGGAGACCCTGCATCTCCACCGGATGAGCAACTTCGCCACGGCCGCCAAACACGTCGTTCGTCCGTCGCGGCTGGACCGCCATCGCAAAGTTGCAATTCGCAAGGCAACTTGCGTGACTAAGTAGCAATCCCTGCATGACTTTCCCGACCATGTACGTCATTTCCAGACACGCACATTGCTCCGTTAGTTGAGCCATTAAGATGAGGCACCTAGATAGTAATAGTAAATCACTTGACATTGATTAATCTGGCCCCTGCAGCTCGACACATCATCCGAGAGCCCCCCCCGTACCGTGCCGTCCACGGCCAATGCAACGTCCATCGACCCGTCTGTACAAAAGCTGTGGCTATCCACATCGAACCCGAGTCATGATTGATCCTTCTCCATACGCGAAACGCATCGTCGAGACATGGGGAAACGTGTCAAAAGCATCCGCGGATCTTGTACAACCTTCGTCCAGACCCGCTCCCTGGGAGATGCGAGGATGAGAGCCCGTGACCACTCACCCGGTCGCACCGACGCCCCCTCGAAGCCCGTTTCGACAACAGACAACAGAAAGGAGCAGCTGTGGTTCCTCCGCGTGGCCGATCCCCGGCATCTTCTCAATGCCACCAACGGTCCCCAGCACCGCGTGTGAAGTCTGCGCCTGACGCAACACCTCTTCCCCAAGACGGACAAGTCAATCTTGTCAATGGGGAAATCTATTCTTCGCTAACCCCTCCTGCCCAGACATCCTCACAGCAAGTCGACTACGACGCAGCGAGGCCAAACCAAAGGAAAAGAAAAGAAGAAAAGGTATACAGTGTAAAGTAAAGGAGCGTCCGCAGCCCTGCAGAGCCCCTTGCGACCGCCAATCCAGCGCTCGCCCGCGCATAGACGCCCGCGCATCACCGATCTCCCATTGTCGAAAATTCATTCTGGTATCGCAGCTTGAAGCCGTTGCACAGCGCCCGCATATCCGGATACTGGTACCCCTTCAGTTCGTACCCCTGCGGAATCGCACGGACGGGCAGCCCAATAACCCTTGCCGTTCGGCTGGCCTTGAAGCAGAGCCAAAAGTACCCCGGGTGCTTCTGATCGATGCAGAAGGCGTACGCGGATCGGTTGGGATTGGCGTCGATATATGTAGTGAGCCATTTCTCTGATTTTCTTGTCAGCCAATACGTCTCGCTGGGTCCTTTTTGGGACGAGGGGACAAAACGAAGAAGAAAAACAAGCCACTCACCCGTCTCTGATCGCGACCGGCTCCGGTACTTGTCATGGCGCATGAGTTCCTCCACCTTTCGGGCCATGGCCTTGACGTGGTCGACAATCAACTCGTCTAGATCGCTGTACGTGTACTTGCCTCCGATGCGGAGGAGCCTGCCGACGGAGAACTCGGTGTCCTTTTGCATCTCCAGCACGTCAATGTGCTGGTAGACGCTGTCCGCCACCTTCCATGTGATGGCCAGGTGGTCGTTGCCCTTGGATGAGGGACGAATAATCACCTCCCCGGGAGCCTGTGAGCCAAGATACTCCTCTGCTTGTATAGAGTTGAAGGGTTTGAAGTTGGGGTGTTTGACCACCCGCTGTGTCCTGCCGGTGGTCTTGTCCTTCTCGCGAAGCTCCTCCTTGTCTGACGCCTCCAGGTTGTAGTCCCATCCGTCGCGGTCATAGTTCAGGGGCCGTTTGAACGGCACGCGCAGCGCGTCCTCTCGCATCGACAGCTTCGCCATAAACTCTTTGTAGTTCAGCTCCAGGATCTTGGCTTGCGCCGTCTGGCCCGTGCTCAGCACCTCCTTGACCGAGGCGCGACTCGTCACTTCGTGCGCTTCGACCCGGCCCTCAACACCGCAGTCGAGCTTGACAATGGCAAAGTCGTCCCGCACCACGCGCACATTCACAGGTACAATCATTCCCTCGCATAGCGATGACTTTGTCTCGCCGGTGAACATGGTAAAGATCTCAGACTGGCTCAGAGGGGCAAAGCTGCGTCTCAGTTCTTCGTACGGAGCCTGGAGTTCTGCACTGATGGCCTCGAGCGTCGCACGTTTCCGCTGGTTAAAGTTCGTCAGCAGCTGGTCGGCGTACTCGTCCAGGACAAGCTCTTTGACTCGTTCTTGTTCGTCTTGTTTGAAGAGTTTCCGAACGATGGCGCCGGGTCCATTCTCGTCCGTTTCGGCCTTGACATCTTCCTCGTCCAGCTCCAAGGCGTCGGCAGCCATCTTGCGACCAAGTTCATAATCCTCGGGGTGGACTCGGGTGTTGTCCAGGGGGTCGGTTGATTCGTTAGTTGAGTCGTAATCAATATACAGGAAGCTGGCACAGTTGTTCCAAACACGAGGCCCGACAACGGGTAACTTGCCGCTGTCGGGATCACCAACCAGCTCGTCTCGTGTGTTCACAGATCCTCCGTTGGCGTTGATTGCCTTGATGACGCTAGTAGCCTTTCGAGGACCCAATCCTGCAATGTAAGGGAGTAGATTCGCTGTATACGTGTCGGTCATCGCATCGTTTATGTTGACACCGACCATGTTGACCGTATCGACCATGGCGGAGTCGAGGTATTTCGTCAGCTTGTCCTGAGGCAGGAGATGCTGGCAAGGGTGGAATGAAAGCGACGATACATCCTTGCCAAGAGCGGCATACTCTTTCATGGGATTCTGCATGTATCGCGCCAAGCCAATGCAGTATCTCGTCACTGGGTTCAGAGACGGGTGCTCAGCCACCGCACGCGGGCTGTCTTTGTACAGTCGGGCCACCTCGTCATCCACGACGACCACCTCAAGAGGCTCTGTCCGATAGTCATTCGTCTCGGGGTCGTCAAACTCGGCTCCTCGCAGATCCTTGTCGCTCACGAGAGCTTCTAAATCTCGCACCAGCTTGTTTGTTTCTGCGCTCCAACCACTGACTGCAATCACATCGGGACGGCGCCGTCGAACCAGCGCGGCAAACTCCTCCCGCTGCGCTTCGTCTCGCGCCAGGTTACCAAACTTGCCCTGCTCGAGAACTCGGCCGTCCTCTTCCACCCACGTCCAGCATGTTGGCTCACGGGCTGGGTCACCCATCCCATTGGACAAGGCAAGCACCCGAGGTGTGGTTCCAAGGATCATTCCCTTTGGCTTATATGGAGCTTGATCCAGCTTTCGGTAAAACTCTTGACGACACGTCTTGAGCACTTCATCCTGACAGAAAGTTCGAATAACTTCCTTGACATTCTTCACGATGACCTTCTCTAGCTTGGGATAAGCCACGTCGAGAACCTTTTTTCGCTCCTCTCTCCACTGCTCCGCGCGATCACTGAAGTTTTCAGACTCGAACTCTTGGTACAGCTGTCGCCGGAAGTCATATCGCGGTGGCATTTCAACTTTGATATCAATCAGGCCCTCTTCTTCTGCTCGCATCATCTTGAGGAAGAGCTCTGGATGGAGCACCAGATCAGCGATCGCCTGGTTCTGGAGATATTTGATTTCGTAATACGGATGTGAATCGTCAATCTTCCGAAGGCCCTTATCCGTCCGTCGACAGCTGAGCTCTGCAGCCTGGTAGTAAGAGCTTCGGAAGTACTTGCGCATACGAGGGCTTGCGAAGAGCTCTTCGGAGTACATTTGGCGCGCTGCAGAAATGACTTGATCGCCGGTGTTGAAGTTCTCATCGATCAAGCTATCAGCAAGATCCATAGGGTACTGAGAGTCATCATCCGGTGTTATCTTTTTCCCCTGACGCAGCGTATTCTTGGCCAGTTGATCAGCGGAGATGCCGTAGGCTTTCACGAAATAATAAGCCTTGCCATTGCGAACCCGATCAAGTAGGGATGACTTTGAGCCGGGCCGCTTAGACTGAGAGAGATTACCGGCCATAACTGCAAGATCTTTAAGCTTGGCGCCATACTGGAACTGGAGATAATCCTGCAGGTCTTGCAGTTCCTCCATGGTTGTGGCTTCGGGGATCATTTCCTCAATCATCGGGTCCTCAACCTCCAGCGATTTCAAGTTCTCATATGTCTTCTCCAGGGAGTTCCTCTTGTCGACAAATGATCTAAACTTGATATCCAATTCCAAAATTCTCCACAGATCGTCCTGGTTAAGGAGCTTCTCTGATTGAATTATGTAATCCGGGCCATCCAAATCATCACGAGTCGACTTTCGAATCTTCTTGGAGTGAAGAAGATAGTCTTTTCGATGCTGGAAGACATAGGGAACTTCGACTTCGTCAACAATGAAGAATTCAAGGACCTTACCGACAGCTTTACCAAAGGGCGTCTGGAGCTCCTGGGCCAGACCCTTCTTGGGCCACAGCTGATTAGTAATCCACTTTGCTTCCTCCTTGAATTGCTCTGCAGTGAGCTGGAGGTTCTTGAATGCCTTGCGCTCCAGTTGAAATCGCTCGGGCTCGTCGGTGAATCGAATCTCGTTGTCTTCGTCGGTGAGGAGCTTTTCCTTGAGCTGGGATGGTTCAAACACATCCTTAAGCTCTATGCCTTGTTCCTGTTTCTCCCGGTCTTCTTCATCATCTTCCAATTGCAGCGCCCAGTCGTAGTCTTCACCATTGCCAAATATAGCTTCCATGTCATCCAAAGCATCCTTGTCAAGCCCTGTAGTGTCAACGACAGCTCCCACACCACGGTCCCGAGGTCTCGCAACTTCTAAGTCTTCCAATCGGCGGGTTCGCTCGTCTTCATCTTCAGGAAAGTCTTCCTCGATAAAGTCGTCGAATTCATCAGCTTGAGCGCGCAAGTTTGACCGCCCATACGGTCTTTGCTCTGCCACCTCTTCGTCTTCATCGGAAAAGATTTCGTCGAGACCACGGCGTTTGTTTACGACATCCTCTTCGTCCCGATGACCTCTTTTGAGCCGTTTAAATTTGGACTGCACGAATGTAAGCATGTGTCTTCGGTTGCGCTGCCTTGTCATATGGTGCACATGAAGGCCGTACTTTGCTTTCTGGTTTGGAGCGTTCCCCAAATTGCTCACCAATAAGCTCTAAATCGTCTTCATCAAGACGCTCCTCCTCTTCACGATCACGATGTTCGCGCTTCCTCTTCACCGGGCGTGATTCTGCATCCGAGTCCCCTTCCTCTTCTTCCTCTTCCTCTTCCTCCTCTTCATCGACAATGAAGCCCTCACGGACCTGTGATCACGTTGTTGTTAGAATGTAGTGGTGGAGATTGCGACAGGAGTACTTGCCTTCCGGGCTTCCTCTTCGTCATCGTCATCTTCCTCTTCTTCGCTGGAGTCGTCCATGTGAGCTCCATTTCGTCTCACACGCTCCTCTCCAGTCTCCTCATCGAAAGACTCGTCATCTTCCTCGTCATCCAACTCGGCCTCGCCCGAAATCAAGTCGCGCACGCTATTGCTCATCGTGTCTACTGAGTTCTCGTCTCGCGAGGCAACTCGACGTCTCGTCCAATGCGGGCGATCGATGGCTATGGATAACAACAGCCAAATGAGCCACGGATGTGGAGACAGCCAGCCGCAAAACCGAGGATGAATGTACCAGCTCGGTCGCCCAGGAGCTTGTCGAAGAAGCGTGAAATACCGCGCTGCGTTTCCTTGGGCTTGGGAATTTTTGTAGTCGCATCGAATCCGCGGGCTTGGGCGCGTACGGGCGGCGGTGCAAGGAATTACACATCTTCCGAACCCTTGACTGCTTATGTAATGGGACTCATCGCTTAGTCCTGCTCCTGACAATTGTACATCTGAGCCTGCGAAAGCACTTGTCTCATATTACCGGAGCAATGATTTACGAACAAATTTCCTAATTCATGATTGAAATAATTTTGCTTCTTTATTTCTTTGTTTCTTTTTGGCCTTTTTTTTTTTTTGAAAGTAGCTTTATATTGGGTGTCCTCAGTGGCGCTACTCTGTAACCTTCTGGAGCTTACTCTGTACTCCGTCTTCAGTCATGTACATGTCTCGACAAACTTGCAACACGAATATGGGATACACGTCACACAAAAAAATGAAAGATTCTCATCTTTCACTCCAAAAGACAGGTCACTAAAGACGAGAATAGATCGAACGGATTCTATGCCGGCAGGTTCACCGCTGTGACTAAGTTGCTTGACAACCGTAGCTTTTGTGAATGACACAGCCAAAAAGCTGAAAGAGGGTGTGATCAAAAGACGTTGATGCAAGCTTAACGAAAGTAAAAGCAGAGTAAAACATTCCAATTGTTCTACCCAAGCGCAGAGATGAAAATATGCATTTCTCTTTACTTTGATTCGAGGCTGCGATGTGCTTGCTCTGACTTGCACTTGTACAGGGTAGCTTATTGTCATCGCATATTACACCACTGTGAGCTGCAAGCTTCAAAGTGATGTCTGGGGTTCAGATAGTAATTGAGCGCTGCTTTTGAGACCGCATGTACTGGCCTGAGCACCGTTTGAAGGAAAATCCAAAGCTAACAGCATTACTGGTGGGTTGGAGTACTCTGACAGGATAACTACTACTCAGCTCCGAAGCAGCCGTCAAAAGAGCATCATCTTCTTTTGCGAAATTTGAAAAATTGCCCACTTGTCCTAGGATGGTAGAATCGCGAGGCATGTTCCAAGACCACGCTGGCGCAGAAGCCGACAGTGTCCCAATCCAGGACCATCTACTGAAAGATAACCCGGCCATCAGTATGGATACCAACGAACACTGTGACTGAGGATGGGCGCTGGGAGAGGATGGAGAAGGGTGAGTGAGATAAGGGCGAAACGGAATTTATGTCGTTGCAGAAGAAGACGGTATTGGATGACTGCGCGAGAAAAGATCAAGATTGCGTGAGGCAATAGGTCGGTATCTTTTCTCATCCACGTCCCCTGCGTTGGAGTGCCCACTACTCTTTACCACGCGCGTCGCTCTGTGTTGTCAGGATATGAAGCTCAAAAGAAGTAGCAGTAGCAGTGGTAGTAGATGTGCATACGGGTAACAAGTCACGAACATTATCAAACAGTGTGACATTGGGGAGCGAGGGAGGGTTTGTGGATTGGGAACCCCATGTCTTACCAAGGAAGACGGCACATGCCAAGCACCGGAGTGTGTCGCATAGCATATAAGGTGGTCTACCACACGCAAAAGTGTGACGTGGGCCACGTCCATTTCTTAGGGTGACAGAGTATTAGTATTGTTTTTCTTGTTTGTTCATCTTGTCCATCATTGCTCTCTCTATGCCGGCAACACCACACAACCTTTGTCTCGGGGCGGCGCAAACGTTGTAGTAAAAGTAGACGCAAATTCCGGCTCAACATACGAGCGGCTTGAAGCTGCTCCACGCCAACGCTGGATGGCGCTATTGGCCGCCAATCTGGTCTGAAGATGCGATGGTATGTGCGGCCCACGATTGACTTTTGGTAAGCGCGTGGACGAAGTAATGCATGGCTGCTTGATGATGCTCAAACGCTGGGCTAAGCATGGGGGTCCAAGGCCACAGGGGGATAAAGACTTGATTGCCTGCAGTCGTCTGACAGGCAATCTTGGGACACTCCGACACAGGCACCAAGGGTTTCTTTGAGTCCCACTGATCGATGATCCTGCGTTTGCTTTTGATGCTTTGGCTAGTTGGATTGGCCACTTCTGAAACGCAGAGATGGCTGCAGCCTGGCTGGTCGCTGGCTAACAAGCAAGGCAAGTCGATATTACAATGTGGCCATGATGAAAGGGGGGCTGCATTCCTGGACAAGTCTCTTCGTAAATACTCGGCACGGCCATCGGACTCAATGGCAGCAAGGTCGTTGAAGGTGAACGCGCCAGTTGGTGTGGTGTGGATGAAAGACGGCAAAGACCATGCCGCTCTGGGCGCCATTGATTCTAGTATTTGAATTGCTGAGTGCGGATTGTGGGTTGCGGGTTGAGCCCAACAATCAAAGAGCTATATGCGTTTCGAGGCTCAGCTTCGACATGAAGTTGACATGATGAGCCAAGGGTACCTACCAGGTACGGAGTAGGAGTAGGTGCTCGCGCGAAGTGTTCGACACATGTCGACCAGTTGACGTTAACCAGACTGCAGTCGCATGCACCAGCACCCCGTCACTGTCGCACTTGCCCTTTGGCCCGGCTCACCGTCACAAATGGGAAACCACGGACAACCCCCCACCTTAACCTCGTGCTTGACTGGCGCCTGCCGTGCGTGCGTTGGGACTCGCTCTGGACTTGGCAGGAGCAACGTTGAAAGGAGGAGCCCCGAGCGCGTCAATAAAGTACCAACCAGTTGATTTGTATTGGAACCAATGTTGGACTGCCCGGCACCAGTGACCCAAGGTAGTGAATTACCGGACAACAACCATGGTTCAAGGGCCATGGCCAACAGACGTCTGCCTTTTCTGTTCCGTTGGGCTTCTCACATCCCACGCCACATCGCATAAAGCGTGCGACATGCTCCGTACTGTCACGTCGAGTCATTTCCCACAAACCGCTGCATTTCCCAATCGCCCAATAGTCCCCGGTGACCCAGGGACCCAAGCTCCCAAGGAAGGCCCGTTGACGCCACAAGTCCGAGACCCGGAGGAACCCCACCAATCGAGAGACCAGCGTCTTTGGACATTGACTTTGGACATTGACATTTGGCAACCAGCCAGCACCCATCCAGGCACCACAGAACGCCATTTGTTCCAAGGTTTTGAGGTGGTGTCTTCCCCCCTTCCCTCACTGTCCGCTTCCTCATCCAGCGGCAGGCCAGCCGCAAGTTTGTTGCCCTTTCGAACAAAGATTGACCCAGCCTAGAGACGCAAGACATACCAACTCTGTTCTGTGCCCGTTGTCTGCAGCAATTAATTGTCTCTGGTCGCCCGCCTCATTTGCATCCGCCCGTCGAACGGTCCGAGGCGTTGCAACGAATATCCTCCCGCTGCGCCTGACGCCCCGCCTCGGTTTGCTACGCCCAAAGGCAAAATAGGGGAATGCCAGCGAGCCTACTTCTTGCATGAGCCTGCCGAAACTCGTCCCACCGGCCCAAAGCAGCGACCAGACCCTTATTACTTCCCCGCCGCTCCCGCGAAAGAGACGGTATCTGGAACAGCAGCATCTGCTCCTCGGCTCAGGAGTCTCTTTTACGAGGGCCGCTCGACACCATGGCTGATCCTTTCGCGCCGCGCTCCATGAAGCGCAAGAATGTCAAGGGTCTGGCCTTGACACCTGCTGCTCCGCGACCACCGCCAACTGCGGAAAGCTGGTCGGGTGCTGACGGCGGCAGAGACGATAACAAAGACGAGCAGCTCGAGATTGGTATTGAGTACAAGTTGGATCTGAGACCACAAGATTTGGAAATCATCAAGGAGCTCGGATCCGGGAACGGAGGCACGGTTAGCAAAGTCAAGCACCTTAGCACCGGCACGGTAATGGCTCGCAAGGTCAGCTCAACACTCCCGAATTCGGTCCCGTCAAGAACAAGCGTCTATTGTCCATACTGTGACATGATACTGACGATGGCGCAGGTCATACACGTCGAGGCAAAGAAGGAAATGCGCAAGAGAATCGTCAGAGAACTTCAGATTATGCACGGGTGCCACTCCGACTACATCGTCAACTTCTACGGCGCATTTCTCAATAGTAATAACGATGTCATTATGTGTATGGAGTATATGGACGTGGGGTAAGCGGCAGAACCGCGTGATCCGATTCATTAGCAAAAGTTCAACATGGTTCTGACATATATGCCCTTTGCAGCTCCTTAGATCGAGTTTCGAGAGTGTTCGGGCCCGTGCGGGTGGATGTCCTTGGAAAAATCGCCGAAGCCACCCTTGGAGGCTTGACATATCTCTACTCAAAGCACCACATCATGCACAGAGATATTAAGCCGTCCAATATTCTTGTCAACTCTCGCGGGTCCATCAAGTTGTGTGACTTTGGCGTTTCTGGAGAACTGATCAATTCGATTGCCGACACCTTTGTTGGCACTTCAACGTACATGGCCCCGGAGAGAATCCAGGGCGAAAGATACACGGTAAAATCGGATGTGTGGAGCTTCGGCTTGACCGTCATGGAGCTTGCCATTGGCAAGTTCCCATTCGCAGCCAGCGAACACTTTTCCGAGGAGGACTGCGCTCCAGCTGGTATCTTGGATCTTCTGCAACAGATTGTGCATGAGCCGGCACCGCGGTTGCCCAAGAGTGATGCGTTTCCTAGTATTCTAGAAGACATGATTCAAAAATGCCTCTATAAAAAACCCGACCAGCGGCCAACACCACAGGAGCTTTTTGTAAGTTGGCAACATCCAGGTACATGCGAGAATGCTCGGTTTTAACACGTGTCCAGGACCACGACCCATTTGTCCAGGCTGCTAAAAGAACTCCTGTTGATCTTCGAGAGTGGGCGTTTGGCCTCATGGAGAGAGACAACCGCAAATCACACCTTGCTCCCCAACTATCACCCGACACTCAGGATCTACTACGATCCAGCGATTCCCCTACTTACTTGACACAGACTGAAGAGCGCACGACACCCACGCCCACGTCTGGTGATATCCCCATTGGCGGGGCTGGAATCATTTCGCCCCGCGATCAACTCAGTCGTTCGCCAAGCAGAAACGGCAGCAGCAGAACACCTGGCATGCTACCACATCCTGGAATGGGAATGAGAGTAGCAACGACAAACTCTGTGCCCCAACTTTCACACTACGCGGAGCCGTCGGGCCCTGCAAGTGCGAGCGCGGCAACATTCAGCCTCCCAGTCCGTCCAGGACCTCCAGGAAATCCAATGCCAGCACCGCTGGCACGACGACAGACACCTGATGACTTTCGCAGGGAGACTCGCCGCCAAGCCACATTTGGATTGCCCGCTAACCCTAGCCCTAGCTATGGATTACAATAGGACGCCTAAGTGGTCTTTTGGAGGAGAGAGGGAAAGCATATGTAGGAGAAGCCACATATTGGAATTATCTGTGCGTTTCCCCCCGCCATGACAACGGTCTGGACGCTGCACAACTCCGCGGGTCAGCGTAGCATCTTTCGGCGCATTGATTTTGTGTCGCATTTATTCACACAAGCTTGCCCTTGGTGGCCAGTAGCAGCGAGGCGATCCGATCAGCCTCGTGCATCTTCTGGAATACCTGGAGATGAGGAAGAAGGAATTTTGACGGTTGCGTGTAGTCTAAGTGTGTCCTTTTGCCTGGTGTGTTTGGGGGTCCGGGTTTCGCTGGAATGAGTATTGGGAATAGGGTCATCAAGGATAGGATAGTACACATGGAATATGCAAGGGATTTCTGATCGAGTTTGAGCAATTCTGGCGTCAAGGTAGCAAACAAGCCAGCAGAAAAATGGAACTACGTTTCTGTCCTATTGTACATGCAAAAAGTGTATGGGGCTGCATGGGTCTAAAATCATGGTTCAAGTAAAAGGTGCTGTGTTACAACGCAGCACTTGTGGGCTTAAAGGCCGAGTCCGTGTCCTCTTTGTCCATGGCCTCGCGGCGGCGCTGACCGGCGTCTTTTCCCTCGAAGCCATTCTCCAAGATTGCCACCAAGTCGTCCAAACGCCCAATGACCAAGTCGGTGTACTCATGGGTCGCCAGCGTCGCATTGACACTGTTCACCAAGAGCACTGTCGCGGCACCGGCCCTCCTGCCCGCGGCCATGTCGTCAATCGAGTCGCCCACCATGATCAGCCCCTTGGCATCCGCCAGCCCCCACCGCTGCGCGATATGCAGAATGCCGGCCGGGTCGGGCTTGGGCGGCTTGAACTCGCGGGTGACGACGGGGTGAAAGGCCGAGCCGGGGAGGAAGCTGTCGAGCAGGTGGCGCACGGGGACGTCAAAGTTGCGTGTGCAGATGGCCTTGGGGACGGACCGGTCGTCGAGGTAGGCCATGAGGGTGGCGAGGCCGGGCTGCGGGACCTGCGAGGCCATGGCCTTCCGCTCGATGGTGCGGATGGCCTCTTTGGCTGCGGGCTGGCGGTGCGGCGGCAGCGACTGGATGTGGTGCAGGACGTCGGTTGTCTTGGGGATGTTGAGGGCCTTGCGCATGTCGGCGAACATGTAGGTTTGGGGCTCGCTGTTTTTTTGTTTTGATTTCGTGTGCGTGTGAGGTGTGCGGATTTGGGTTTCGGGAACGGAGTTTATGGGAGGGTGCTCACCATAGCGTTCCGTCCATGTCGAAGACGATGCCCTGGAGTTTGGGAGCCGGGTTGGGCTGTGCGTCCTTTTTGAGGGGAGCGAATATTCGGCGCGCCGGGGAGGCCATTGCTGGTGATGGGAGGCGGCGCATGGAATCTTTTGCGATTGGGGGGTCGCGAGTTGAGGGTTGAGGGTTGAAGACTGTTTGTTGGTGTTGGGAAAATCTGGGGTGGCCAAAATGCACGTGGGTCAGGAGTACAGCGGTGCACTCGAGAGCTTGTCCCTGCCCGGACGAAGCTCTTCGCCGGTATCTGATGTCATGCATGTTGCAATCTCAAATTCCTGCGCCCCAACGACTCCGGGTGCTTCCTCAGCATACCAACGTGCATGGCGAGGCAAAGCCTTCTGCACGGCCAGTCTTTGCAAGAATCTCACCGGCTGAGCCAAGCAAACGGGCTTGGTCATCATCGTGCGGAGCTGAAATGACGGCACCTCCTCGGGCATCCAAAGCGACGACCAGCTACCGGCCAAACGCCTCGTCGCGGACCTGATTTTCGAGCGACATGAGCTCCAACAACAGCTCGTCGGCAGGGGCGTGGCCGCCTGACCTACGGTCCAAGAGGGGGGGGGTATGTTGATTCCCAGGCAGCCGTAGCTCCTCCAAAGACGACCCGTGTATTTCACCACGGCTAATCACGATGCCGAGTAGAAGCTGCGCAACGGCACATTCGTCATCCCTAGCACCGGCGAACGCTCCAGGCGCCAATTCACCCTCCGAACGTCAGACACCATCGCACAGGGCAGCGGCGGCAGGAGGCTGGAGCGACGATCGTCAATGGGACAGGCCACCGACGGCCTTCGCTGGTCAGCTCAAGTCGCAAAGACCAAGGCACAGTCCGTCTGGCAATGGGTCAAGTCGCGCGACGGTCATCAGGTCCTCAAGTGTACGCTGGCGTACCTCCTGGGCAGCTCTGCTACCTTCTGGCCCGCTCTCTCCGACTTCCTGGGTCATCGAGACGGCAAGCACATCGTTGCTACCTTGACGGTTTACTTCCACCCCGCGCGCACCGTGGGATCCATGCTCGAGGCCGTGTTTATAGCCCTGATAGCCGTGGCGTACGCTGAAATCGTCTGTGTCTTGTCCATGGTGGCAGGGATTGCCTCAAGAACCAGCACTGGCTCTGTCGTCCCAGCACATGCAGTCGTGTTGATCGTCTTTGTCGGGGGAGGTTTAGGGTTTGTTGGCTGGGTTAAACAGAGACTGGACCAGCCTCTCGTCAACGTAGCCTCTACCCTTGCGTCCATGGCAATCATCACCGTTATTACCAAGGAGGAGTCAGTTCAGGACGGCTTCTTCTCCGGAGATAAGATTGTCCAGGTGATCAAGATGCTGTGTGTGGGCATCATATTCTCCGTGGCCGTCAACTTGTTAGTTTGGCGTTTGTCGGCCCGGCGAGTCTTGCGCGAGGCCTTTGTCACTGCATCGGTTTGCATGGGTGATAGACTGTCCTTCATCACGAGGGGCTTCTTGAACGGGACTGAGGATGAAATCAACTCGGCAGTATACGCTCAGGTGCGAAGCAAATACGCTTCAACTTATGCGGAAATGTCCAAGAGCCTGCGAGAAGCCAAATTAGAGCATTGTCTTGTGGGTCGAGAGGAAATTTACAAGTTAGACAAGCGCCTCTTCAAAGCTTTGGAGTCCGTATATCAGACCATTGGTGGTTTGCGAAGCTCGCTGTCAACTCAAATCGCCCTTTTGAACGAAGCGCCAGTACTCCCGCAAGAACCTGGTGTATTGCCTCCCGAGGCCTCCATCTTGTCACCAAGATTCCGACGAAGTTCTTCGCTCATACTCGGCGGTACCGGCGACTCCTTGTCTGTAATTGAAGAAGATGACGAGGATCAGAGGCTGACACTGCTTGCGCAATCGGAACCTACCCTCCTCAGCTCGTCTCTTTTCCGAACCCCTTCTGACATATTTTCGCTGTTCATAACTATGCTTGGCCCTTCCCTCAAGTCGCTAGCCTACACGCTCTCTGAAACGCTTCGGGAGTCGCCCTTTGGAGATGACCCGGTGACAGAAGTTAAAGTCAACGACCAGCTTCGCGAGAGTCTACGAGACGCCATAGACCTGTTCAACCGTGCGAAAAGTCGCGCGCTGAAGGAGCTTTACGAGACAATCCAGCTCCAGCGCTCGTGTTCCGAAGCGACTCGGGCCGATATCGAAGAAGTCGCCGCAGCGTGCGGCCACTTCTCCTTCAGCCTCCAGGCAGTAGCAGATGAAATGGATTCTTACCTGGACATACTCGAAGAGCTCCAGCACGTCACTCAATCACACACCCGCAGCTGGGAGTGGCTCAAATTCTGGAAAAAAACGCCACAGGCGACCCTCTCCAACGACCCAGAGTGTGAAGCTCTTCTCCAGAGGAGAAAGACGACTGTTCGGGGATTGAAGGCATCCGCAGTACCCAAGGGCATCCCCGATTCTATGAGAAAACGGCGAGACTCTTACCACTGGGATGCAGCGCCAAGCGCAAGCACTTTCCAGCGCAAACTATCACAGAAGGTTCTGGGCGTGATGCGATTTCTTGCCCGTGAAGACCTCCTGTTCGGTATCAAGGTCGGCATCGGCGCTGTGCTCTGGGCGCAGTTCGCCTTCATCCCTGCCACAAGACCCATGTACCAGCACTGGCGAGGTGAATGGGGTCTGCTGTCGTACATGATCGTGGTGGGAATGACGACTGGCGCGTCTAACACGACGTCTACAGCTCGTCTCGTCGGCACCCTCATCGGCGCGGCATGTGCCTGCGTGTCATGGCTAGCCAGCCAAGGCAATGCATACGTCCTCGCTCTGTGCGGGTGGCTGATGGCGCTCTGGAACTTCTACATGATTCTGGTTATCAAGAACGGCCCTTCAGGCCGCATCGCTCTGCTGGCGTACAACGTCATTGTCCTGTACGCGTACAGCTTATCGCAAGACGTGGACGACGACGACGACGACGAAGGCGGCACTGACCCGCTCATCTTCGACATTGCCTACCACAGAGTCGTGGCCGTGGTGCTAGGCATCATCTGGGGCATGATTGTCTGCAGGCTGTTGTGGCCCATCTCCGGCCGCAAGAAGTTCAAGGAGGGCCTGTCGGTGCTGTATCTCCAGCTGGGGTTGATTTGGAAACGCGGGCCGCTGAGCATTCTCCTCGAAAGCAACAACACGCAGGACTACATGAAGGAGGGGGAGCAGGGGGCGCTCCAGCGATACGGTAAGCTCTGCACTCTCCATCCCCGCCTCCCCTCTGCTCTCGTTTTCGATATCATACATTGGCCATGGACCATCCTAACGCAGCGTGCGTAGCGTTCAGGCTGGAAACCCTGCGCGGCTCGGCAAAGTCCGAATTCGAGCTGCGCGGGCCCTTCCCCGACGCGGCGTACGCCCGCATCATGCACTCCACCAAACACATCCTCGATGCCTTTTACGCGATGCGGCTCCTCACGCAGCGCCACGAGACCGTGTCCCCGGGCGAGCGTGCCCTGCTCGTCTTCACCGCCGACGAGCGCGTCCGGCTGTGCCAGCGCATCTGCCACGTGCTGCAGGTCCTTGCTTCGTGCGTCATGCTCGAGTACCCGCTTACTGATGCCATTCCGACAATCGACTCCACAAAGGACCAGCTACTGGGTAAGATTTACCAGTTCCGCAAACATCACATGCGCAGTCGGGCGCGGGACGATGACGCGGCCGGCGAGGAGGAAGACGGCGTGTCGGTTGAGGAAAAGGACTACGCGCTGCTCTATGCGTACATGCTCGTGACGGCGCAGGTGGCAGATGAGCTGAAGAAGGTGAGGGGTGAGATTGAGGGTTTGTTTGGCGTCTTGGGCCAAGATGAGCTGTTGTTGGAGTAGACTTTGGCATCTTGGGTGCGATTTTTGCTTTCTCTCTTTGCCCCGGCAACAAGCGGCAAATGAACATGACCATGGAGACATGCTTGCACGGTTTGGATGTGAGTACGGGATACACTGGAGTTTGCGCATTTATTCATCTATTTATTTATTTGGTTCTCCACCGCCAGTCGCGTGATATAGTTGCTGGGTATCCTACAGTGTACATTCTCGCAGCTTGCCGTGTCGCCCGATTTCGTACTCTACCCACCTCGCTACGCCCTTGCGGCCCGGGACCAGCACGCTGCTGGGATTCATGACGTGGCAGCCCTCGTAGGTGATGCAGAATGGGGGCGCCGTAGTGTCTATGAGGGCCATGGCCGTGGGGAGGGGGTACAGGTGCAGCGAGGAGGAGTAGTCCCAGTGCACGGGGCGGATGGACTGTCTGAACGGCGCGAGGTAGCCCTGGTCGAGCATGGTCTTGACCAGTTTCTGGGCGGTGCGCACGTCGTCTGGCAGCGCGGGCGACTTGGGCCGCTTCTCGTGGGCGTCTAGGTCCATGGCGTCGGGGCCCGGTGGCTCCGGCGACGTGTCTTCGGCGTCGGCGTCGGCGTCGGGCTCCGTTGCACCGCGCTTCAGGGTGACGCATGTCCTGCGCAGGCGAGCCGAGACGTCGTCCCGGAAGAGGACCAGTTCGTGGTTGGGGCCGAAGAGCGTCACGCGGCTCGGGTTGGAGGTCCATACTGCCGAGCCGGGGATGCCGTGGCCGCCGGCTTCCGAGTTGGCGGTTGCAAATGCCCGGCGGACGCGGGACGTGAACATGTCCGGGACGGGCTTCCTGGGCAGCGGCACCGAGGCGCCGGCCGTCAGGGACGAGACCCAGCCGTCGTTGTCGCCGGGGACGAACACAAAGGTCGACGTCTGCAGGAGCGTGGGGAAGTCGGACAGCGCGGATGCCAGGGCATCAAAGTATTCCTTGTACTCGATGCTGCCGCCGCTGCCGCCGCGGGCCATGACGGCGTGCTGTGTGAAGTTGCCCGCCAGCACGAACGCCACGGGCGCGGAGCCCTGCGGCTCGGCGGCGTAGAGGGACAGGATCTTGCGCGTGGCCTGGAGAGCGCGCGGCTGGTCGAGGTTGAGCTCGCCGATGATGACGGCGCGGCCTCGACTGGGGGCGTCCTGGGAGGGCTGCTGGTGCTGGCGGTGCATGAGACGGCGTTCGATGCGGCGCATTTTGGCGCCGACAGCCCTCTCGCTTCCGACGCCGAGGAAGTCGATCCAGCCGAAACCGCCGCCGATGGTGTGGTCCTGGCCGCCTTCCGGCCCGCTGATGCCCAGGGTTGCCTGACGCTTTTCGCAGGGCGGCTGGCCGATGAAGAAGCCTTGGAACCGGCCGCCCAGGGTGCCTCCCACTCCGCTGCTGCCGCTGAGGCCTTTGCCGACCGACTCCTCTTCCTCTTCGTACACGCCGTCTACCAGGACCGCCATGCCGGGGCAGAACCATGCTGAGTCGTCGGGGATGGCGACGGCTCGGCTGAGATTGAGGGCTATCGTGCCGGTCAGGTCGCTTATGGCAAGCTCGCCCGTGGGCAGGATGACTAGCAGGCCGAGGAGCATGTGATTACTGCCGTGGCGGCCAAGCATGTTTGCGATGGGGGTGATTTTCAGCGACTGCTGATTTGAGAGGGACCGCTGGAGGGTTCGTTTGCGAGACGACGACACTGACGAGGTTTGGAACGCTTCGCTGCGGAGGAGCCGCTGGTGAATGACTTGATATCGGTTTCGGAACACGGTGGTTTTGTGAGACGCGGGCGGCAGCAACGATGGCTTTGTCGTTTCCCTGCACGTCGTCAGTCGTTGCGGATCTAGACATGAGATGCGGAGAACTAGGAAACGGGGGCTCTGAGCACCTTTCAAAGTGTTTTTTGCCGACGTTGTACACCAGCCGCGGCTGCTCAAAGGCATTGACAACATTCAGCCAGGCTCGCGGATCGTTTGTGTCGTCATCGTCGTCGGCGTCCTCCTGCACTCCCAGCCCAGACATTCCGAAACTAGCGTTGCTGTCTTCCCTTGCGAGCGCAGTCGGTCTGATACCAAGCCTGGTGTTGGTGGCATCCCCGTCCTGCGCCTCCAGCATGCTCTCGCCCGTCGGCAAGCCTCTTCCCGGTCCGACAATCTTTCCTCCGCTCATGTTGCCTTCGAGAGTCCTGAGGATGTTGTGCAGCTCCCTGCTCGTGCCTTCGACTATGACGCCTCCATTCCGGTTCTTCCAGCCCCGCGCGACCTCTTCCAGCACACGTTCGGCGAGACCCTCTTCGCGCCATCCCGAGCCGCAATGTCTTCCGATGAAGGAGGCCAGCTCTTGCAGGGCAGACGACGTGAGTGTTAACGAGTGTTTCTTTGTAAAAGTGCGAAACGCGAGGGGCCGCAGGGTCGCCGGCGGCAATATGATGGGGAGAATCGCGGCTTTCGGGGCTTGGACATGGAACGGCCTCGGAGGATGGACGGGAGTGCCGAACGCCGGCGATGAGGATGGTATCGTGGCTGACGACGGCATGGCGTTTTTTCGCCGGAAGATGGGTGCTGGTGTTTTGTCCATTGTCGCGATGATCGAACCATTCGCTCGAACCGCCCTATAGAGGAGTTTTCTATCCAATGTCGGGGCACGCACAATGAGGCTTGTGTCGCGAGCTCGACGTCCGTCGAATTTCGGTATGCTAGATGCCTTTCCATGGCGTCGACGCGTCGACGCGTCAAACGCGTTAATTGATTTCTGTTAGATGCATATTTTGGTTTCGCGGGGTCTTGGCGGGTGTAGTCACGGATCCACTCGGCCCTGGGAAGACGTAGCACGGAGTACGTGCTAGCTTGAGCTTCCGAGTTCCATCCAACGTCGCTTCAGCTCTGGCTGACGAGGAGTTCGCCCGCAATGTTGGCAGCGATTCGATTTGCTCCCCGGAGCCTTGGCACTTGGCGACGAGCCGTATCGACGCTTCCAAGTAACCCACGCATCGTGCGTTCTTTCCCCGGATCTGGTCCCGTATCGCAGCTCTAACGTGCAGCTCAGAAAGTCTTTGACGACCCGCTCTCACCGGCGACATACATACTCACATACCTCGACACGAATCCGCCATCCCCAAAACTCGCCATCGGAACATCTACCGCCATCCCGCCGACTCCCCAATCTTTCTCGGAAAATCACCGATTCCTAGATATACTCAATGAAGTGGTGGCCGAGTATGGCCACGAGGACGAAGATGTAACCAGCCAAGCCAAGGCCTTTGCCAGCCCGGGCGGGTCCAACCTGGGCTCTGGGGGCGTCTTCTTCAGTGCGCAGCGGTCTAGAAAGGCGTCGTCACGCAAGCAGGGTGCCGGCGGCGGCGCCGGCGGCTCCGGAGCTGGAGGCGCGAGTGCTCAGGGCGGTGCCGGTGGTGCCGGCAAAGGCGGCTGGGTGCATCTGAGTGACCGCAGAAATCCCCCGGGCTTTGGGAGAATCGCATGGCCAGAGGACATCCTGGCGAGCGTCGAGGTGGATGCGCGCGGCAAGGTCGTTGGCACGGCGCAGCCGAGCCGAACATATCGGGTGGTGACGCGGGAGGGAATGTGAGTCTGATAATTCGCCGACGGGTCGGGTGAATGTTGCTAATTACAATTTGCGTACCAGTCTGGGATTGAGTCCGTTTCTGGAAGGCAAACTGATTGAACGGCTGAAAAGGGAGGAGGCGACGTCGTAGAGCAGGACAATGCCGTCCGTCCGGGCCTAACGTGGCGTCAAGGCAGACTCAATCGGGTTGGCCGATGCTAATGTACGCATTCACAAGTCCATAGTTTGAGCCCGGGACGCTAAATAGCGACAAGGAGCATGCCGTTGGGTTGGCATCGCATTCCGCCGGGGTCGGGGCCTCTGGCCACCACATGTGATGATTCTACTCTGTTGGAGACGCTGGTTACAGGCATTATAACGTGGTTGAGCAACCCCAAGGCATCAAAGACACCGTGTGTCTGCGGATACTCCTCTCGATACCACGTTCGTCAGGAAGTCCTCACCACTTCTGCGGCTATGGGGGCGCGCGAAAGCTGGTCTATTCGAGTGGAGTGGCAAACGTGTATCAAAGATGAGAAGAGGTATACGGGGCGGAGGACAGCCGGGAAACACCACAAGACACGGGCTTGCACGCCGCCACAGACATGTCCCACTAAGAGCTCTCCCCCTTCCCGCTCTCTAAGCTGAGTTTCGCAGCCGACTTTGCTGTGTTTGGACAGCCATCTCGCCCGTGGCAAACCGTGGCTGAAAAGGCTCGAGATTGGATGTCCCAATCGGGGCAAGCGCTCCGGGCCGGCGGCGGAGAGTGCCGGGCCCCGGCCCGCAGGTAGCGACCGGGCCGTTCGACAAGCACCGATGCGGCTGTCTGCAATAGTTCCGATCAACTTGGTCGCTGACAAGTCGTGCCGAGTATGGGCCGTGAATCATGGCGACCACGCAGTACACACAACGTGACAACGTGTCCAAACTTGGCTGAAGATCATGTGTAAGCAAGCGGATGAAAACACGTTGATGGCATGGAGAGGTCTCCAGTCGGAAGTCCTTGGACGGGGCTTTTCCCAAGATGACAAGTTTCCGCACCCTGCTGGCTTCCAATCCGCCACATGTTGTACGGCATGAGTGTGTGTGTGTGTGTGTGTGTGTGTGTGTGTGTGTGTGTCTTTGTTATATGGAGCTTGGCCGTCAAGCCCAAAAAAAGCCTCAACCACATGACTTGCTGCAATGCACAAAGTGTAACAAGGCCTAGTTGTAGTAATAAGAGCTGCGAGAAGGTATAGTAAAGCTAGGGAGACGCCGCTGAGAGGCATATCGGCCACGGTTCTGAGCCAATTGCAGGTATTCGCCAACCTGTGATTCCACACTCCCCCTTCCTACTACATGACTCGAGCATCTCCATTTGGGCTACGCAGACGTAGAGTAGAAATCGTCGTCATGTTGAGACGCAAGACGGTCGGGATATTCGCTACCGGAATCATCTCATCCTGGTCCGCGTGTAGGATAGGTCAAGACGTTTGCTCGCCTACACCAGCCTGCCTTTCAATACGCCGCCTTCTAGTCAGGAGGTCAAGGTCCGAAGTAAGGCGCTGCTGCTGTCAGCTGTGGTTTATGGGAAGGAGAGCTCATGTTTCCCATCATTAAGTCACTACGCCCCGGCCGACATGGGGGACTTGCTGTTGACAAAGCACCCCTGCGTATGAGTGCTATTACTCCACCTGTTGGGCCACCCAGGCTAAGCGTTAAGTTGTATATTTATATTATATTAAATACCCTAGACAGCTAGCCCGGCTGAGCTATATCACCAGGACATCTCGTACTGTTCCAAGCTTCAGAGTTTAAATTATACCTTGACGTGTCGAAAAGATAAATAAATAAAGATGGATCTACCTCGTGTAGTAGATAGCAGGCTCGTTTGCATGGCCAATAGACCGTCACAGACGCACAGGCGAATCTGTGGACATGCAGTAACCAATATATATCAAGCGTGCTCGGAGGTTTTCTTCGAGATCCCTGTCTCAACTTTAGCCCGAACCCTGGCGGTGATGGGATGCTCGGCCAATTGACCAGGACTAACGAGACACCGAAATTCTCTAGCTTGCATCCCGGGTAGGCGAATCACACGTGCTGTGATGCTGAAATAAAAAGTGAAACAGTTTCGTGCGGTTTGAGTTGACACCAGAGGAGGAATATTAGGAACAAACACTTTACTGAACAGAAACTGCAGTCTAGCTAGCCAAATACTGGTTTATCGTTACAAAGGGCCGAATAGGTGACTTACTCTTTGCTTGATAAGAGGACTTCTTAGGGCAGGCATTTCATGCAATACAAGGACCTAGGATCCCCATCAGAAGGACTATTAGGCATCGGGATTCGTGCAGACGTGAGCGGGTCTGGCAGTGCTCTTAACAATGCATACACATTACTCGGCTGGGGATGCTCGTTCCATTCTCGGGCTCGTGTTATAGTCAGGGGGACCCCTTGCCAACATACTAGCTCTCTCCATTCCTGCTGGAGCTTGTCGACTATACCATCTCAAAGTAGGAAATCTTTTGGTAATTTCTTTACATCACTGGATACGTATGACGCGATGAAATGACGCAAGTTGTGGTGAGGAAGAGATGATGCCTGGGAACCAAGTATAAATAGCTTGTCAAAGTTGCTCGAGTTGTCAGTGCAACACATGCGCTTTGCTACTCGACTCAGGCCGGCGTGAATACTCTGTCAAGCATCTTGAGCCGCGATGATCCTGCCACGGGCCTCGGGGGTCCTTGCCTTGGCCTCGTGCCTGCTGTGGCATACAGTTGTAGAGGCATCTCCAACCGCCACCTCGACCAGGCCGCTACCAACGTTTCCCGTCTCCATGGCACCTCATGCCACCGTATATGTGGTGGTGCCAGAGGGACCCAAGGGTCTGGGAACGCCCAAGTATTTCAGAGGCCAAGGCGGAATAAGTGAGAGCCGGTTGTCTGCACCTGGGGAGGAAGAAACACTGGCAGAATGGCAACGCCTCCGCGACATCAGACCTCATCAGAATGAACAAAGCATCGCCTTCGAGGACCTCTTTGACGTACTGACGGTAGGATTCCCCGACGACGAGCACAGCTGGCGAAGGTCGGCGTGGTCGCGCATAGATCCTCGTGGGCGTTCACCGGCGCGGCGCGTCTGGATATACGAACTTGCAACGTCCCCAAACATGCTGGTCCAAGCCCCCCCAGACGGCCGTAGCAATGAGATTGCATTTACGCAGACTCTCGGGGGCACGGTCTGGTCACAGGTGTCGCGGTTCACTGAAATAAGCCTATCTCACCCGACAATCAGGGACGGGGCAGCGAGGCTCACTGGCCAAGATGCGTGGTATCCGGACTGGATGAACTCGGTGGAGGTGTCGTGGATGCTGAACCCTGACTATGACAGCAGATGGGAGGCATATGGTGCTACCCAAGGAATCCCTTCCGGCGTCTTCAATCAGGCCCCCGAAGGCATGACGCGTGTTGAGCTGGCGACGGACATCATGGCGCTCGTGACAAGCAGCCGGCTGCTTCCTGATCTGCGGAGGCGCCAGACACTGCGAGAGTTGCTCGACTGGGATACCGATAGAGAGCCCGAGCGGAACTTCCCTCTTCTTCGTCATGCGCAACGTATGTGGCAGCTCCCCGCTCGTGTGAGCAATTTGCTGACCGACACATGACAGCTCTCAGGCTCGAAGCCGCAGCACTGCCGCTGATCGACTGGTCTCTGGTCCAGATCCCGCCCGAAGTCCAGCTGGCGTTGGCATCGGGGCTCGCAACGGCCGCCCAGTGCGCCGCGGCGTTGCAGCCATTCAGGAACTTCTTCCTGAGGGGACCAAAGGGACCAAAGGGCAGGAGGGAGGTGCAGGCAGATGCTTGCGACGAAATAGCCGGCCTGATCAAAAGCAACTCCAACGTGCCTCCAGGATGCCGCAAAATCAAGAAGGTCGAGCTCGAAATAGCCTTGTCCGACGACTTTTGGGCCGGGACCTTCGACATAGTTGGCGGTACTCTCAGCGGCACGGCTGGCAAGGCGGAATTCGTCTTTGGAGACGCCCCGGACCGAGGGACAGAAAAGAAGATTGCTGTGGACATGCAAACGGCCTTCGGGTCGGAGGAGATCGATATTGGCGGTATTGACAAGATTGACATCACGGTCGAGGGAGACTTCTGGCGATGGACCCCCCTTCGGAATGACCAGTTCAAGATCAAGGGTAAGACGGGCCAGAAGAAGCTGCTCGGAGACGAGTACTAACCGCCTTGTTTCGACACAGACATTACCCTCCGCGCGCAGTGCGCTGATCCTGCCTTCCAGGCTCAGAATAACAAGTATCTCGGTCTTAATAGTTTGTACCGCCATCCCGGCGGTTGGTCCTTTAGCCGTTTGAAAAAGAAGACTGTCGGAACGTTGCATATAAGCACTGCAGATTGGTCATTTGTCCCTCCTTGCAGCATCATCAAGAGCCTGAGCTATGACTTCCGGATAGCAAATGTTTGGGGTGGGGGGACCAACGACGACATCTACTTGACTCTTGGTTCAGGCAAGCAGATATTCCTTGCCAGCGATCCAGGTGCGGGCTTCCACAAGAATGGCGAGATTAACCTGAAAGATACCTTTGGCAACGACACCATAAACATTCGTGACTTTGGCAGAGTCGCCCTGGAGGACAAGGAGGGCGAAGCGTGGTTCAGTGGCGACAAGTGGACGTTTGAAGGTACAGACTGTCTCTACTCAACCCGCCGCAAACATGTGCTGTTGTATGCTAACGAGGACGGTTTTGCAATGTAGGCATTACATTCTCCGCAACTTGCGCAGATTTCCCGAAACGAATGCAGCTAAAGAAGTTTGAATCGGTCAATCAGGGGGTCCAGTATCGTCAAGAGGGCGTGCCGACTTGGACTGGCGACATTAGCCCGGAGGACTGGCAGGAGCTGGCTTGAGGAATCGAGAATGGAGCCAAGTGAGGACGTAACCGTGAGAATGATGACATTGTCCTCGTGGCCCCCGAGACTAGCCGCATGGGCTGCGGTTTCCTGCTGGCTCATCGAGTTCCCAAGCCGAAAATAGCTTTACTAGCCAAGACATGACCTTGTAGCCGTCAGACCCGCTCATCTTGCGTGAATGAGGTTGCTGCTGCTGCTATCCTTCTTGTCCAGTCAAATCTTGCAAGCTCAAACAGTTGTCGTCTTGTGACAAGGGCCTAACAGAGGCCAGCTGGAATCTGGGATGTGCACCAAGGACCCGGGCGTACGGATGAGACGCCTAGGTTTGCCCGTCTAAAGCTGGAGACTGTTGGTCTATGGAAGCGCAGTCTTGTTTCAATGTAGTCGCGGCACGGCCGCTGCAGGCCTGCGTGGGCACATGACGACTTTTTCTGGGTAAAACATAACCGAGACTTGTTCTGCTTGCGCCATCAGCGCGCTTATTAGCTGGCCACGTGCCTCGTCATGGACGTTCATATACCACTCCGAGAATGGGCATGACTCAAAGCTTCGACCTAGACTCCTCATGCCAGCCGAGGCTTCCAGGATGTAATGATAAAGTCACCCGACGTGAGGGGGCCGCATTTTGGCATTCCGTATCACGCTCCACATCTGCCACAAGCACATGGGCTTGTCATGTCACACTTGCTCATACCTTGAGGTGGAAGAAAAGGAGACACGTACGCTCGCTCTCGTCCACGAAGAGGGGTGGACGTGCCGGCACCGCCGGGTTCTGCCTCGACGCGATATTCTGGAACGAGTCCCACGCGGAAAGAAGATGGGGACGAGGCTAGCAGGGCCTCTGCGGCAAGAAAGGCCATGCAGAGTGAAGATGGTCTGCAAGTGCCGGGCCCAGCAATGCTTTCCCGAGCAAGCCCAGCAAACACTGACATGAGAGGCGGGAAATGTAGTTCAAGTCGGTTCAGACCACTGTTGCGCTGTTTTTTATTATCCATCCCAGAAGCTAGGTCCCTTTAGCATCCCGGCATTGAGCTCCCGCAGGCCGGGTAGGAACTAGATGGACACGCGGCCACTAATTATGACGTCCATTCTATGCCTCGTGTACTTGTACTCACTGCGCAGGAGTAACAGGTACTCGCACAGACCCGAACAAGAGACAAGAACTTTTACAAGGCATTTGCAGGAGACTAGGTAGGTCCGAGTCGGTCGGAGATGGCTGCTACAGGCATCAGGGGCGCGAAACGGCGACTGAGAGGACAAAGTGCCATCGCGGATTGTGAGAGCCGAGCTGTCGACCAGGTGCCTCTCGTTGATCTGCTGTCACTCACTGTCTGGTCTGCGCCTCGGCCCCGCCTGCTACCCCGAGTTGCAAAAAGGGATATCTCCAAGCGATTGTCGCGTTTCTACTCGCCCCGTGGGCAAAAGTAAAACGCGTCCAGACCTTGTTGTGCCATCTTGGCATGGGGGGATGGGAGGCCGGCTTCCACACCCCGGCGCCCGTGCCGTGCTGTTGAACGACTTCTCGGCAAGTGTTGGCTTGGGCCGAGTACGCATATTCCATCACGTCGTCTGCGTCCTCACTTTGACGGTACTCAAACGCAATTTGGCGATGCGGTTGTCAAGTAGACTCGGGAGAGCTAGTCAGTACTACGCCGCATAAAAGCCTTCCGCTTCATACCAAGTAGCAATACAATCGTCCTGGAGTGATGGTACTATTTGCGTTCCCCTGCTAATTATTATGCCTTGTACCATTTCATGCAGCAGAGTCCGACATTGAGGTGCACAAGGCCGAGAATGAGGAAGACAGCAGCGGATGCAAAGTGAGGCTCGCTCGTCCGACGAGATAGACATCGGCGGCCGCTGGCGACAGTAGTCTGCCTGTTCAAGGTGTCATCACCCGGCGAAATTGGGCGCGTTGACAACATGTCCTCGCGGAGCAGCACTTGGTGAGAGTCGCAAAGGGACAGAAGCAGTCGCTGGCGCCAAGAGTTTGAGTCACGTGGTCAGCTTTTTGAGAAAACCAGGAAGCAGGCTCGTGGCGGCGACACGGGTTTTTACAGGAAACATTCAAAGAACGTGAATCAAGAACCCAGCTGACCTTTGCGAACGTCTAATGTCACGGATGACGACTCCGAATGGGGTGTTGGGCATGGCAGCCCTGACCGGAGCCGATGACACGTTCGCGTTGGGCCGTCTGTGGCGGCTTAATAGGAGTCGCTGAGCGAGTTCCAGGCGTTCCCCTTGGCTGCCTTCCACGAGAGTGTTGGAAGAGATGGCCGGCCCGTACGAGCAAATTCCTCACACCTGGCCTGCCGGTACAAGGTCGATCCGTGTGGTCGTGGGATCGGATCGGCGTCTGGAGGATCGATAGCACACTAGATCCGTTTCGCGGGAAGAAAATGATGTGACCGTCGATGAGCTACATCAGCCTCCCGGAAGAAGGCAAGACCAGTCAGCTTGTATTGTGATTTGCTGAGAGAATCCCAGGCGGTTTCATACAGAGACCTGCGTCAGTCCAAGCAACAGCACCATGACGATCCCAGAGCAGGATATAAAGGGCAACCCAGCCCACGTGCCACCCATCTCGACTCCCCTTGCAAACAGGAACGCGAGAACAGGGCTGCCGGCTATCCGTCCCACGATGTCAAAGACACCAATAACGCTGTTCAGCCGCGCAACATCGCGCTTCTCGACTAGAGCAGTCGCCAAGCTTCTGACGAACGAAAACAGCCCCCATCCGAGGGAGTTGACAAGAAGAGCGGATATCAAAAGCGGCTGCGTGCGCGCCACGCCGACACCTAGCAAGCCAAACGCCAAAAATGCTGCGCTGGCACGTGTAAGGAGTAAATCAGATCGTCTGGGCCCCCACAGTCTTCGACAGTACGTACTGAGAACCGGTAGGATAAGGACGTTGAGGAACAAGACGCAGCCTGAGCGGATGGATATAATCACGGTGGCGTGGGCAAGGGTTTGTCCGTAGTGAGCCGAAATGTACAGACGCAGAATTTCCTCATTTGAAAAGAGCAGGTGGATCAGGAAGGGGGAAATGATGAGCAGGAGCCTGACGTCGGATATCAGGAAGGCCATGGAGCTCAGAAACCGCCCGAGTGCGCTTTGGCAGCACCAGCGGCCCGAATCCGCTTCCTCGGCCGGCATAACCGGACGGCGTGGCGCTGCCGGGCCGGGGCTCAACGTCTCTGGAATAAAGAGCAGGATGATGATGCCGGCGATTTTGATCAAGACGGCGAGAATCATGGGTATCCAAGGGTTCCAGACCATCAGAGCAGCCGCGGCGAGGGAGCCGAGGAACTCCGCCGTGATGCTCGCGGCCATTAGTTGGAAGAAGATGGTTACCCTGTGTGTGTGTCCCGGTCAGGTCTCCCTTTGCGGCACTCTTGACTCGCAGGCATGACTGACCTGTTCCTCTCCGCGACCACGTCGGAAACAATGGTATGTGTGAGGGCGGCGGAAACGGGCACGCCGCCGCCAAAGACGGTGTGCAGGGCCGACAGCCAGACCCATTTCAGCGGCACGGCGCCGTCGAGATAGCTGATGAACTGCACGTACGAGTGTTTCGCTAGGATCGCCATGCTCACGAGGAGAAGCACGGGTTTCCGGCCGTACGAGTCGGCGGCGTAGCCCCATGGGATGGAGAAGGCCAACACTAACACGGCGCATTCAGCACCAGCGGCAGCGGCAGCGGCGACAGGACGACGCGTTGAACAGGGCGGAGAACTCACTGCCTATGCTGTCGAGCGTCAACTGCCATCCCTTCAGAAAGGCCACCTCGGCCTGCACCCAGCTGACTTTACACCACTTCTCATCGACGCCGCGGCGGCCATCGCTGCCGATGAGACTCGGCTCATGCTCCAGGTAGTATTCCCGACAGTATATGCGCTCGAATATGCGGGTTTGTGCGGGCTCCATTAGCCAGAAGCTGAGGTCTAGGAATGTGGTGTAGAGCAGGAGGCGGACGACGACGACGACGGCACCCGTCTTGTCACGCTTCGTTTGTGTCGCCTCGTCATGGCGGCCGCTCACGGGAGGCAGTAGTGGCGATGCTTGTGATATATTTTCCATGACACTTGACGAACAGTAGCTTCTGGACGAAACCTGCCCTCTCCTGTTTCACTCCGCTCTCCCTTTTCCGGCGGGGAAACGAAGTTGCAGTGTCAGACGCAATATTCTCCTCTCAACCGTCTCTCCAGGGCGACACCCGAGAATACAACATATCACGTGGGGTTCAACAAGGCCACGTGATGGTGAAGCTGCCTTTGAAATGCCCCGGCTTGCTTTGGGCCAAGCAGTTTGCCTCGGAGGTTTGAATTCGAGTTGCTGTGTTACGCCAGCGTCAATGGCTGTGGGTATCCAAGGGCGGTTGGTGCGTCCCCGAACCAACTCGACGAGTAAGACTGTCAACGGGGGAAAACAACAAGCTCACACACACGAGGTCACTGTCAAAGTCATACAGGCTTTCCTTTCGTCTTTCTGTCGTGAAACACATCTCCTATTGGGGACACTTGAACCCACCCGAGACATAAATGCGACGCCTGCTCATGGAGATGCGGGGTGCCAGGCTCTGGGGTTGTGGTTAGACAAAACTACCGCGTCGATTAGAATTTGCTGGGAATGATGTGCTGGTCCCATCGTCTCGAGGCGAGAGGCAGGGCCAGGGTCATGGGCACAGCCATTGGCAGAAATTCATATAGTCATTAGCGGCCGGCATCAACAATGATACCAAGGCGAGTAGGTTCGTCGGGAGTTATATACGGGCCGGGACTGAACGTCCGTCTACAGTCCACGACAACCTAGAGCCCCAACTAGTAAGACAACCTTCCTTTCTGTGTGTCGGACCAAAAGAACCTGAAAAGAGGCCCGCCGAGATTGCTGCCGCCCGTGACTGCAAGTCTCAAGTCTGGACCACGATGAAAGCGTGTAGCACCGCAATTGGTCAGCCTTCCCAACGGTTTTTTGAATGGCCGACGGCTAATTTGTTGGCCCTGAAGGACATTGCATCGCGCAATCTGCATACTCTGGTCAGAATCCAAAGACCCCGCCTCGTCATCGTAGTACTCACTGTCCTCACCGGCGAATTGATGCTGTGGTCGAGCAATGGGGAGATGGCCAGACCAGTTGACACTTTTTCGAGCGAGTTGAGCTTCCAGGTCATCACGTGACATTGCCGGAGGGACTCATGATTGGGCGGCACTGAACTTGGAAGTTGGATGTCGGGATCGGGGCAGCGCGCGGCCCCTATGGAGGAGGACAGTAGCGCTATTATCACAAGACACGTGAGAATTGTCACACCACTCATGTGCTGGTAGAAAATTTCGATGAGCAGTCTTGCATTAGCGGATGAAGGCTGAGGATAGGTCTTAGAATGCCCTTGGGCACGTTGTAGAGGCAGGCAGCAAGCAGTAGCAGTACAAGGTATGTGCCTTGTCGCTACTGTATATAAATACCTTAGGTAGGTACTCAAGTATTTAAGCACCTGGGTACTTGAGTACCAGCTGACGCTAATGAGGCCCTGGGCCCTGGCAGTTGAACCCCACTGCGCCGTCGAAACCACCGGCCGGGCCAGTTGACTTGGCCCCGGACCGCTGTAAAACCCCCCTCCCACCTTCTCTAGTCCTCCGCCTCCAGAGTCTTTGCGCACTACCACAGCATCATCATTATCCCCCTCGCCAGCTGGTCTGATCTGTCTGCCCCTGCGCATCATCTCTCTGTGTTTGCATCGCAGCGTTGACCGCCCGCTGCCAGTGATCCTGTTGGGTCCCTTTCCGCCCGCCATGGCCCCTCGAGGAGGCTTCGAGGACGAAGAGCTTACCATCTCGCTCTCCTCAACCCACGTCCGCCGCCAGCAGCAGCAGCAGCAACTGCCACACCACCCCCGGCACCGGGGTCGCGACGATGCCACCGGATCCCCAAAGTCGAGCGGCAGTCGCCAAAATGCCATGGAGTCTCTACGGGACAGAACCAAAACCGAACAGCGCATCGGCGCCTACAAGGTTGTGCGAACCTTGGGTGAGGGATCGTTTGGGAAAGTGAGGTTGGCCATCCACCAACTCACTGGACAGCAAGTTGCTCTCAAAATTATCGCTCGGAAGAAACTCATCAGCCGAGACATGGCTGGCCGTGTTGAGCGAGAGATTGAATACCTGCAATTGCTGCGGCATCCCCACATCATTAAGCTGTGCGTGACGACCTCTGTCTGGTTTTGATCCTCCTCTCCCCCGACATTACGCGGACACAAAATGCCAAGTCTGACCGACACGATGCAGGTACACCGTCATCAAGACCCACAACGAAATCATCATGGTGCTTGAGTACGCGGGCGGAGAGCTTTTCGATTACATCGTCCAAAACGGCCGCATGAAGGAGGCCGAGGCACGACGCTTCTTTCAACAAATGCTCTGTGCTGTCGAGTACTGCCACCGTCACAAGATTGTCCACCGCGACTTGAAACCCGAGAACTTGCTGCTCGACGATAATCTCAACGTCAAGATTGCCGATTTCGGCCTAAGCAACATCATGACGGATGGCAATTTCCTCAAGACGAGCTGCGGAAGCCCCAACTATGCGGCGCCCGAAGTAATTGGCGGAAAGCTGTACGCTGGCCCCGAGGTCGATGTATGGAGCTGCGGCGTCATTCTATACGTTCTCCTGGTCGGCAGGCTACCCTTTGACGACGAGCACATTCCCAGCCTGTTTGCCAAGATTGCCCGGGGCACTTATAGCATCCCCCAGTGGATACCGTCAGGAGCAGCCAATCTGATCAAGAAGATGCTTGTTGTCAATCCCGTGCAGAGAGCTACTATAGAAGAGATCAGGCAAGACCCGTGGTTCCTGACCGACCTGCCGGCTTACCTCCAGATGCCCGTCGAGGAGTTTTTCAACACTGGTGTCGACCCCAACAAGGCCATCCAAACCAGGGATATAGCCCCCAACGCCCCCGCGCAGGTGCAAGAGAGGCTGCACAATGAAGTCACGGAGAAGATCAGTAAAACTATGGGTTACGGCAAGGGAGATGTTGAAGAGGCTTTGCAGTCCGAGGAGCCCTCGGCTATCAAGGATGCTTACATGATTGTGAGGGAGAACAAGCTCATGCAAGTCACTCGTAAGTCTCGAGACGTCTGCAAGATACCGCGTGCCATGATGCTGCCCAGAATGCTAATTGCTGTTCCAGAGGGCCAAGAACCGTTAACACCAGAAGTTGAGGAATCATCGAGCCCCATGATGAGCATGTCCTCTGCCAGGTCTGGCGCCTCGGGCGGAATCTCACCTCGACCATATGTTAGCAAGGTTGGTATTCTGCCGACAAGTTTGCCGACATACCACAAGGACTTCATCGAGAGACAAAAGGCGGGTCTCAACTCGCAGCCGCCCGAAGTATCTGCAGTTCATGATGAGCCCCCAACGGCGCGAACAGACGCGGAAAAGGAGGAAGCTGCAAGACGACTCAAGCCACATGCCCGCGTTCAGCTGCGGCTTGAGGAGGGCAGCAAGCGCCCGCAAGGCATGACACCCATCAATCCGCCCAAGAAACCTAAGCCGGTCAGATGGCAGTTTGGTATTCGGTCTAGGAATGCCCCGTGGGAGGCTTTGCTCTGCATCCACAAGGCGCTGCACAAGCTGGGCGCCAAGTACATTCCAGACGAGGAATATTCTCAAGTGCACAGCAAGGGTAGCGAGGCCGCGAGCGGGGATGGCAGTTTTGCGGACGAGTATGACGGCACACCGCTGCGGCAGGATTCAAGCTCAAGCTTAGATCCGGCCAGGCGGTACCAGCTGCCAGCTGACCCGTGGCACATCCAAGTGCGATGGGAAGCCTCAAGTAGGGTCACCATTTTTATCTCGTCCCGCCTCACTTTTCGGAAGATGAATGCTAATGCCCATTTCCTCACAGCACTCAAGAAACATATTCAGACGCCGCCGGAAGGCGTGGACAGGGTCCATGTCGGCACGCCAGACAGTCACCACATGCTGACACCAGACAGTGCGAACAAGAAGCAGTTTGTAGCCCTGCACTTGGACATTCAGATTTACGAGATGGAGCAAGGGGTGTACTTGGTAGATTTCAAGTCTTCGGGCTACGAGACGCCCGAAGGCAGACTACTTGAAGAGAAGGAGGTGACGAGTCCGTTTCCGTTCCTGGATATGGCGGCGAGGTTAATTATGCAGTTGGCCGAGGCGGACTAACGGGGGGAGGGGGGTTTGGTAGAAGTTGGTTTTGCGGTTAGAGGAGCTGAAATTTGATGACTGATGACTTTTATGCCGCTGCAGCAGAGTTTGGGCCTTTTTTTTTTTTTCCTTTTTTTTTCCTTGTCCCTTTTTTTGTTCCTGTTTTCTTTTTCTCTGTTTCTTTTCTTCCTTTTTCATTGGAGTATGGAGTCCATGTGCAGACAGACGCCTTGCCTCTGCCGTCAGAGGATCAAGGCAGGTCAGTCAAACGGGTCAAGTACTACGATAGAATCGGACATCATGATACCCGGAATTAGTGTGATGCCGTTTGGGGAAAGACGAGCGGGACATTTTTGACAGCGTGTGTAGCACAGTGAAATAGCTTCTTTTTCTACAAGGGTGCGAGCAGCGGTCCATCTTTTTTTCAAGCCAAGACTGTGATTTCTCTCCACCACGCCGCCTACGTAGTACAGTGACGATGAATTGCGTCGGCGACGCACTTGTCGGTCGGTGGTGGACAGGGCCACGAAACGACGAGCGTCGTCCAGACTCCAGACAGACAAGACCGTTGCCGCGAGGCAAGAAGCCTGTAAGAATCCCCGTCCCGGCTCTTGTTGCTCAATGGAACTGGTCCTCGGTGACGCCCTTGCCCATGGCGGCGGTGGAGCTCACGCCGCCGGTGACCATCTTCTGCAGCTCGTCGACGTAGGCGGCGCCGCTCCACTTCTGGTGCTTGACGACGTCGACGCGGCCGTCCATCTCGGGCTCCTGGACGAGCTCGCCGTAGGCGCGCATGCCGTGGGCGGCGTAGGCGCGGGCGAACTGGTCGCTGATGAGGGCGGTGGTGTGCAGGCCGGCGAGGGTGATGAACTGCCAGCAGTAGCCGAGGGCGGCGAGGCGCCGGATGTACGTCTCCTGCTGGTCGCGCGGCATGGCGGCCTTCCAGTTGAACGAGGGGCTGAGGTTGTAGGCGAGCTTCTGGTCGGGCCAGGCGGCGTGGACGCCGTCGGCGAACTCCTTTGCCTGCGCGAAGTCGGGGAGCTTGCTCTCCATCCAGACGGCGTCGCAGTAGGGCGCGTAGGCGACGGCGCGGGCGACGGCGCAGTCGCAGCCGCCGCGGAGGCGGTAGTAGCCCTCGCGCGTGCGCGGCGCCTGGCGTCGCGCGAGGGCAGGGCCGACGCCGCGATGGCCGCGAGCACCGCGTCGTCGAAGCGCATCAGCCGCGCCGACGAGAGCCACTCGTCCTCGATTTGCTGGAGCGCCGCGCCCGTCTTGCCTGCCCGCTCCGCTGCCGCCATGAGCTCGTTGAGCGGCCGGAGCGACGGGTTGGTCGACCCCAGGATGAAGGGGTGGTCGCGGGGGTCGATGGTGGTCGTGATGAGCGTCGCCGCCTCGGCGTCGGTCCGCGCCACCGCGATGAGGTCCGTGCCTGCGCGCGCGCGCCCCCGGCGTCATCGTTAGCTAGGGGGGGGGCGGAGGAGAGGGAGAGGGAGGGGAGAGGGGGGAAACGGAGGCGCACCCATGATGTCGGCCTGCGCGCGGATCGCGACCAGCCGGCTGATGTGCTCGCTGATGGGCACCAGCACCTTGCCCGCCATGTGGCCGCACTTCTTGGTCCCGGGCGCCTGGTCCTCAATGTGGATGCCCGCGGCGCCCTTCTCGACAAACAGCTTGGTGAGCTTCATGACGGCCGTCAGCCCGCCGTGGCCCGTGTCGGCGTCGGCGATGATGGGGCGCAGGTAGTCGACGTTGGCGACCTGGCCGCGCTGGGCCCGCGGCGTGCTCAGCCGCTCCTGGCGCTGCTTGCGGTCGTGGAAGAGCTGCGCCATGAAGAGGTGGCCCACCTTGTTGGGCACCGTGGTCTGCGGACAAACAGTTTAGCACAGTACAGTTTTCCCATCTCGTTCCCCTTGCCCGGCTGGTCCCGGCCGGCCGGCCTCGGAGGGGAACACGGAGAGAGGCGTGTATTACATATGGGTAGTCGGCGAGGTCGGGCCCCGGCTCGTCCGACGCCGACGCCGTCGAGGAAGACTGCCAGCCGGACACGTAGACGGTGTCGAGGTACTTGGCCATCTGCGTCACCATGGTGGGCTCCAAGCAGCCGTAGGTGTAGGAGGCGTCCTTGTTCTGGTGTCCCGTCAGCGACCGCTGGCGAATGGCTCGTACGCGAGCACGACGCACGGGGACGGGTACGTCGGCCTACCTTGAATCGGGCCTCGAGGATGTTCCACAGCTTCTTGGCCTGCGCGTTGCTGGGGTACTCGATCTTGAGATGGCCCCTCTTGGAGACAATCTGCTCCGCGGTGAAGGGCCGCTTGGTGTATCTCCAGCGAGAATCGGCCCACCAGCTCTTGACCTGCGCGACCTCCTTGGCGAAGAGCTCGTCCTCAACGTCCGGGTTGACGGCGGGGTTGACCATGTTGTTGGCGGCCATGGTTGCGGGTTCACGTGCGTCGAGAGGGGGGGAACGGGACAAGATGCTGCCGGAATCCGCAGATATCCAAGACGGGGTCGATTTCACCTTGCAGGAGATGCTGATGCTTGCCGGGAGCGGATAGGGGCGGTCAAAGGGCGAAAAGAAACAACAATGGGAAGGAAAAGAAGACACAGACGCCCACGTCCGAGGATCAAGAGACGGAGAGTCCAGAGTCATTCTCGGCACGTCCCAAGGGTCACCGCCGTCTACATATGACTGGGAGGCTTACACCTCGGAACTTGGGCTGCCCCCCACACCCACGGGCCGCCGTTGCTTGGTGTGCTCCCAGAGGTCGCCTCCGTGCCAGTCCGGGATAGTCCGGACAGCAATGCGTGCGAAGAAGATCGAGATGAATAACCCGATACATACGCCAGGCCAATCACAACCGGGGCCAGAATACCCGCCCTTGGCCGAGGCTCACCCATTCCACCGCAACGCCGGCATGTCGGCACAAGAGTGCCCCACACGGTGCGTCGTGTTACCGCGCACTCATTGCACGGTCCACGCCTCGCCCCCAACTGGATATCCCGGCGCACCCGAAGTCCTGAGTCCTGACATGTGAACGAATCGGCGAGAAAAGCCACTGCGGCTGCAACTCGACTCGGCCGCCATGGGCCGTGATATCCGCTCCATCCACCGCCATGTTGCGCGCCACCCTTGGTACGAACCCTACCTACCTTAGGTAGGTACCTATACTTACTTACTTCAGTAAGTAACTACGTACCTAGGTGCGGAGTACGGAGTACCTGCCTCGCTGGCAGCTGCTCAAGTACTCAAGCCGCTGCAAGCAGGCAGTCGGCCGCTTGGCAAACCACGACAAATTTTGTAACCGCTTCAACGCGCGTCTTCTGTCTCAAGTTGGCATGACGGACTACGGAGCATGGGCGACCAGAAACCATGCTCATGATTAGCACCTCCCAGTCCGGCCCTACGACCCTCCGACCCTCCGACCCGACGCCAGAATATTTCTTGGCTGGCATACAGTTAACTTGTCGCGTCCAATATTGACTCGCGGCTGTCAGTCACATGGCGCTGCTTGGTCCATCAATCGTCATCGCGCCGCGTTATACGTCAATGGTTGGATGCGTTCTTCTGGCATGTGCCAACTTTTGCTTTCCGCGACGCATTCTTTCGACCCTGATTCGACACCGACCACGCAGTGCCAGACACCACAATACGTACTCGCTTCCATGACAGTGCAATTGATTGACCCCTACTTTTTCAACATACCGAGTACACACGCTGTGGTAGTGCCGTTTCACGCTTCTTCATCCTTCAGCTTGAGCCCCCCTCATGCCGCTACTCATGGCAGCTCAGCCAATTCCTTCTCCAAGCTCTGCTCAATTGCCTTTATAAACGTCGGATATGGTGTCAGTGTCCCCAAGGCCCGACGCATGTGCGCATTTACAATCTGTAGACCGTACACATAACTGGCATTGACCCAGCCGAACCTTTGTGGATTCTGTCAGCCTTGACCGTCACACCGCAATCGCCAATCACAAGAACTGGCAAGTTGGGGGGGGGGGGGGTTTAAAATCCAGGCCTTGATTCCCATACTCGGCATCCACACGATGAGGATCAGCTGGCCGCGTCACGTCATACTTTTCCACCACGACACCGTTGAAATCAACAAACGCCTTGGTTATCATGAACAGCCACTTGTAGGCAAGACGCTCAGCCTCCTCGGTGAAGCTGTAGCGCAGCAAGCCAGTCCAGGCAAGCATCTGCTGGGGGGCCCAGCCAGAAGGGTAGTCCCATTGTCGGTTGGGGCGCTCAAGCCCGACATTTCCACGAGACTTCTCAGTCCCAGCCAACAGGCCGCCGTACGCTTCAAATCGTGGCAACCCCTTCTTGACCATGTCGGCTGCCTGCTTCGGCGTAGCAATACCCGCCCACATCGCCCAGAATGTGGTTGAGCTTTCATAATTGCACCTCTCCCGCTTTGCAGTGTTGTAGTCAAAGAAGACGCCCTGTTCTTCGTCCCACATCAGCTTGTCCACGGTAAGCTTGCGTCGCTTCGCTCGTCGATCCCAAGCCGCAGACGACAGCACTTCTCCCGGCTGATAGGGCGTCCTGTCGCAGAACTCGCCCGGAATCACCAGCTTGTCGTCAAAAACATTGCGGATCGTGCGTGCAATGTCTGTTTCGTACTTGAATAAGAGTGAGTTGAGATCAATAGTGGCGAGGTCAGCACAGATGCCTTCGAATCGGTATGTGGTGTCGTGCCCAGACTCCCGCACTGCTCGATCGTGCATGAAGTAACTATCCAATTCCGGTTCCTTAATTTCGCCATAGTTGTATGCGCGAACAAAGTCCTTGAACTCCATCTTGTGCTTCTTGATATAAGGCTCAAGAATGTGCACGAAATGGCCAGCCTCGGTTTCCGGAGGGACACCAAGACCCTCCGGCCGATATCTCGACAGCCCGGTGACTGGGTCAAGCCGGGGCTCGCATGTCCAGATGCTGTGATACTCCTTGATGGCGGCGAGTATCGACCGTCTAAGGAACTCTTTGGCATCCGGTTCGTGCTTGATTTTCTCGTAAACGCGCAGGGCCATGTCAGTCAAGAAAGGCGGCTGTGATCGGCCGAGATAGTATGAACGAGTAGCGTTGAGAATCTTGCCGTAGTGCTGAATGCAGAAACAAAAGTTGAGCACCATAGATTTTGCCAAATCAACCCTGTCGTTGACCAACAGCCCAAGCGACTCCATGTAGCTATCCCAGCCGTACAATTCGTTGAATCTTCCTCCGGGCACCACGAACGGGAGGCCCCGTAGTGTCTTGCGGCCTGTTTCAGGGTCCACGATCTGTTCGGTTTCGAGCGCCAACAAGCCAGGCTTCTCATTCATGTCCCGGATCAACTCGGGCGTGATGTTTTCTGGAAGTTGCTGGAAATCCAGGCGAATCTCTGGACGATCTCGGGCAACTTGCTTGTAGTATTCATACTGCTCCGAGACTCCATGAGGGATGTAGATTCGCGGCCGGGGATCATCTGTCCAATCCTTTGGGTCTCGCGCGGCTATTTCAATACTGGAGGCATCGATCCGCCGGGTCAAGCCATCCCAGAAGTGGTCACGGATCAGGCGGGACAAACGGCTGACTGGGTTCTCATTCAATCGACCCTCATCCAGGATGATCTGTTTCCGTCCGTACTCCTTTGCCAAGGTCAACTCTTGGAGCAGATTGGAGAGCATATATGTGCCTCGAACTTCGAAACGATTGTAGCCAGCAGAGGCAGCAGTCCGCAGAGAGAGCACCTTGGGGCCTTCGTCCTCGATGGTAATTTGCATGTTGCCATCAGTGTCTTCCTGTGCTTGCAGGCTTTCGAGAGTAGGGTCGACATGTATGAGGAATCGCCGGCCTTGAGGTAAGGCACTCTCATCTATATCCGGAATTAGAAAAGCCGAATATCCATGACGCTTCGAAGGAACAGAGGGGGCACACCGTGGCTGCCTCTTCTATACGGTTCGCGCAGGCCGTTTCGTTCAAACTGCTTCATCAAGCTGTTCTACACCAGTGTCAAACCCGGATCCACGACGTTGCAAAACAAGGGAAACGGTACCTGGGAGTACGTGCGGGTACGCGACCCGAATCGGTTGTGATGTCTTTCATCAGAAGCATAGTATGTTCTTGCATCATCAAACACATTATAGTCCTCCGAGCCTCGCGGTCGGTGGTTCGTCGTCCCAGCCATTGTTGTCAAGTTGACGCAAGCTGACGGGTGTCGGGTGTCGCCACAGAGGACTACTGGGTGAAGCAGTCTCGTCCGTGACCGACAAAAGTAGATGGGTGGCAAACGAAGGATACAGCAGAAACCCCAATTTGAATCTCTTGGCAAGGTTTGGGGAGTAAGGTCTGTGTCACGGAGACGGAGCTCAGATCAAGCTCCGTCATGAACAGTCAAAAAAAGACGGGCGTCGCCGACACAGAAGAGGACATCTGGAACGGTTAAATTAATGACTAGTGGGGATCTCGAAGGGGCACTAGGGCTGGTGGATCGCTGAAATCAAGTACTGCGTACCAGATTCCAGATGTCAGACTGGGTCGTGATGGCTCCGTTGTGCGTGTTCCCCGAGGGGGCGGGAGGAGAAACAAGCTGGATTGATGACGAGGGATGTCAGACGAACAGTTTGGCGAGGCCGAAGCAGATGGGTGGCTTTGTTCTTATCAGAACGCTGTGGTTCAGGTCAAGAGGACGACATGTGGGAGGCGGTGACGATTCCCTGCAGAGGCTCGCCAGCTGCCCCCCACACGCTTGGAGATGTCAAGTGGTCTGTGCAACTTTCAGAGGTCAAGGTGGGGGGGGGGCACGGAGGCTTAAAGGGTCCAGGCTCCACGCCGCAAGCGGCGCCGGGGGTCATGAATGGCGACTCAATTGTAGTCTCAGTTTTTTTTTCCCCTCATGGTGCAATACGGAGGAGCGTTCATGTTGGGTTATAGCCTCGACTACTGCATCCATTAAACAGCGATTCTCACAAGTTCTCCAGACTTCGACACCCTGTAAATTACTCCGTAACCAGCTCTGAGATTCTCGTTTGCTCGCACAACTGACAACTGGTCCGTCGTGGATTGTTGCAGTTTCACAGCCTGCCGACATCGGCCATCTCTCATCACAAGCTACCACCATCATCCACAACGCAGGTCGAGCCAACAAGTCCGGAGTGCTGCAGGTGACTTTGGCTGTACCGCGGTTCCACGATGTCATCATGTTCTCGTAGAGTCTATACAACGCGAGGGGACGTCCAGGTGCAAATCCGAGGGTAGCTCCCCTGTCCAGGAAGTAGTATCCCACTAACCCTAACCTTAATCCTAACCTTCTCGCCGTTACCCCAACCCCAACCAATGCTTGTGGAGGCTGAGCTACCACGTTATATACAGATGTAACGGTTGATGTGACAAGGGCTCGTCTGCGGGCTTGTAGCAAGCGCAGCATGGTGTCATGAAAGGTCCTTGGTTTTCCACAAGGTATCTGCGGCCAGTGGCAGCCACAGCCTTGTGTTTATGCCGCAGGCTTCTGCCCTACGTCTTATGACCTGCGTGTGACGGTCGAGGGGTCAGTCTTTGGAGAACAGTGAACTATTCGTTGATGTCGTAGGATTACGATCAGTTGCCCTAGTTAACAAGCTACGTGGATGCCTGAAAACGAACGGCGCCGACACCGCTAGGAGACGTATGCCTCGTCGCTCGACAACACATAAGTCAGAACGCCTGTTCACACAAAGATGGTTCATTCAAGTCAGCCCGTCTCCTCAAGTATAGCTAAGAAGCTTTGATCAAAGTACTTCTCTGCGGCCGGCTATATCTCATAATTTATAAATCAACTGAGCATCAACACTTTGAGAAACCTCCCTCGCCTACAGCATGTGCACTCAATACTATGCTACGAAGGTTTGTCAGTGCGGAGACCGGTACACGTAAGACGTCAATTTTGAGAGATGTGATAATCCATCCAAACCAAACCATGAGCTCAAGCCGCTGCCTTTGGGCTCGAAGAGACAAGGAAGCAAGTGTGGGCGATATGGTTGCAGAAACCCCTGAGCCGCCGTGACACGGGTTCTGAATATCGACCACATCTTTGGTGCATTGGCTACGACGATCATGGACACAATTAAACACACCCTTGTGCGTGGTGTGCAGTTGGGAAACGTGTGCCAAGATTTCTGCGGCGTGAGAAAATTTGTTCGTCCAACAACCTAACATGATTTCCCCACCGAAAATCCCCTCAACTTGGGGGAAAATGCCATCGGCAAAGCGGCGATCTACAGCCGCCTCATACTCTTCCATTTCTTCCGTACAAGTAAATTGGCCAGTAGTTGCGCGAAATGGCCAATGCCCTGTAATGATGCTATATAGGACCGAGCCGAGGCCAAATATATCAACGGCACAAGTCGGTTCCCAAGCAGCGTTCGGGTTATAAAAGCCAGAGTCGGGAAGTTTTCCACCGGGACAATCCTCGGGTGCATCCCGAGCCTGCTAAGGATCTGCTTTTCGATGCTGAAGTAGTGATCCACGTCGTCTCGCTTTCGTAAAATCTGATCTTCGCCTGCCTTTACAGGGGCTTTCAGGATGATGCCAGGTCGCAGGCAGAAGAAAAGAGCGGTTGAGCCCGGGAAAGAAGCGACAGCTAACTTGACCAGCTCGGCTGGGTGTGTAGCCGGATAAGGCGCATTTTGGCGGAGAATATTGAGCGTCAACGTATACAACTTCAAACAAACGTCGTTTACAAGCTGCCGCCACGGTTTCCATACGAATGGCTCGTCGAAATTGAATGTGTGTAGCATCCTGCATCATGGTGATGTACGGAGATGGCGAGTTGGCGATGCGGCGCACAAGGCAACGAGCTTCGGTGGGGTCACGTGACTACATAACTGTCAACTTATCAACTATAAACTTACCAAAGCGTAGATTTTACATTACTTAGATTGCGTATGATTTTGGGAGAATCTCCTTCAACTATGTAGATGGTTAAGCCGACAAGTTGCCACACTCATGTTCTTTCTTCTTTCTCATTTCGGAGTACTCTGGTCGCGTCGCTGGTTGCTGGCTTGTTGACTTGACTATCCTCCGGCTTCGACGCCAGCGAGTCCGCACCCAACTATTGAGGAAGTTCAAGAATTTGTAAAGGCGTCATTTCCACTGGCTATCCAGCAGTATCTCGAGGCCTGTCACTCGCTTGACCTTGCTGTCGACGTCGTACCATACTGTTCGCCAACAATACAAGGCGACTCGACCAGCCCGACTGGCAGCATCTTCCCTCGTCGTATCATGCCCTGGGAGAGCTTCCCAGCAAGACAGCAGGGGATATGGGAAAGGCTCTCCATCAGCCCTGAATTCGCCTCCTAAAAGGTGTTTCCGTCTCAACGTCAATTATCACATCTCAAATCAATACTTCCACTAATAAGCAGTGAAAGTCCTTGGAGCGTCAAGTGGTCGAGAATGCCGTGGAGAAGCTCCTTGACGAGACCTACAGGGGCCCAATTTTGCGAGAAGACCTCGGCCTCAAGGGGACTTTTACCTTTAGGGAGGGCAATGGGGAAGAGCAATCTTGTAGGACCTCGGACGGCAGAAATATTCCCGCAGTCGCCAGTTGAATACAACGCTTCACGCAAGCTGAGCCTTGACCAGGTTGCCACTGGGCTTGCTTCCGAGATCCAGCCGGAACGTGACGTGATCAACAAAGAAGGCGAGGACTTTGCTTTTCATGCTAGAGCCCTTACCGCTGTAGTCGTCACACGACTCTTCTCCTATACGATTGAAAAAGGCACACTATGTAGCTATTTTTGCACCGGGAAAGCTTGTAGTTCCCTTCACATCCCAGATGATCCAACCATAGTGTATTGTGCTGTGTCTGTGCCACAGCAAGACGTTATGGATGACGACGAGAACAGACTCCATCGCACGGCTGCAGCACCATTACAGTTTAATGTTGGTCCAACTGCAGCGATGTAACGACGGCTGTGTCACTAGGTTCAGAGCTTGAAGCATACACTTATATTCACATATGAGATCGTATAGTTTTGATTTTACACCATGTCGTCGTATTTCACCTCCCACAGGCCAAGCTTCTCGGCATCGTCGTGCCCTGATTCTGCAGGGGCAGGAGCCAATAGAGCCTGGACAAGGAAGGCGAATACCGGCGCAGCCTTGGCCTCTAGCCGGCGCCAGCCGGCAATATGCATCAGCAATACTGCATGCTTAGATATTACATCATGTAAAGTATATCACACAACATATTCAAGTATAAAACGCAATGCGGACGAATAGAGAACACAATACAAGCAAGTACATGGTATGATGTTATATACAATTTGCCTTGATGTTCTTGTTAAAAGAAGTACATGTTCCTCTCTGCTCTCAACTAGGCAGACAGACACATTCTTATAAACTTGATAAACGATTAGGACACCAGACTTTGTAACGGCGGTCACGACTCAAGAAGAGCCCGACATGGTCACGCCCACTGCGGTTGCAGTCAACGGTCTTGACTGCCTCGTTTCACAAAAAAAGGAGGTAAAAGACACTGGCAAGATGGCGCGCGTGTGTATAAATCCAAGCCTTGGTCAAAAAGGGCAGCCCGCCGTTGTTGCATGTGTGCTCGTAGTGTGTAGGTTTTATGCAGTGCGACCCCATGTATGATCTAGGGGCCTGTATATATTTGACGCACGTTTTGTGCTATTTCGTTTTGAGAAGACGAAGAAAGAACAACAACACACTGTTGACGCCAATCATCTTCTCATCTTCAACACCGACCGCCCAGTAGCTAGCCCGATATAGTGCTCCGCATGCTCTCATTGGATTTCGATACATCCGGCAAGTCCAACAGTTGCTTCCGAGTGCTTGCAAACTCATTCGTCAAACATGTCGTCGTTGCCCTTGCAACATGAGATGCCGAGTCTCTAGACGGCACGTCTTTGAACTTTGCCAACAGACTCATGCCCCTGCCATATGACGCTAGCAGTTGGACCACCTCCTGCACATCTCGTGAGGCTGGTAGCGGCGAGCTGCAATCGTCCCTGTCTCAATTGCAGCAGCTCAAGGGCGTCGGGGCAAATATAGACGCAATGGAGTCTAAAATTGCCAACTTGGAAGAAGGTATAGCTTCAAGGTTTTCAATTCCTTGGCTCCCAGCACGCGGGCTGGGGGTTACTCTCAGTAAAAATACACTTTCAGCCCTTTTATAGTTGTCCACAACATTGTCCTTTCGTGATTACTCGCTTATTCCAACAAAAAGAGCCAAGCGCAGCGAAGAGCACACGGAAGAAAGTGGTCCTGGCGGTGGCTTCGTACCGCTGTCCCGCGATGAGATGTAAACTGAAACTTCTGATCCACGGAGCTTCATGGCTAGAATGGTTTAGGGGATGGTAATAGAAGCCTAGCCTTGAGACGAATGCAAATACAATGCCTACATAACCAGACGGTGATATCTCTGAAAATAGTCATGCTGCAGATCCACTCAAGCACGATAGCTCGGGCCACGGATGGAGTAATCGTAAGCTGTAAGTAGTAAACCATGTCAAGGATAGACCTCATCCATCCACAACGGTCACATCCACTCTAAAGAGGACATCTATTGAAACCAACCGGCCAATAATTTCCATTCAGACATCCTCGTACACTTGGGCCGTACAGTCTCCTGACATCAACTGTAATTGTAGTAGGGCTCGGACCGTAATGTGTATCTGCGTCAAGACACGAAATCCAGCCCACACTCAACCTACGATGACGATGACGGCCGTACATACGTCCAGGCTGTGGACCAGTTCCATGTGCGCAAACCACCTTCATTTCGGCCAGGTTGTCCGTCTTGAGCTCGAGTCTCGCCCCAAGATTTCTCCCCTTGGTACTCTCAGACGAGGAATAGCACGACACGTACACGTGTGATGGTCAGAACTCAAAAGAGAAAAGAGAGCTTTTTGATTTGCCACGCAAAAGGAGTGACATATTGCTGCCACACGGGCCGAACCCCGATTTTGCCCTCCAAGCAAGAAAGATGCCGGGCTTTTAGACAGGTGAAAAATTCCAATCTCGGCACGGATTTGCATCAACGCCCCGTTTCCAACGACTGCGTCCGTGATCCGCGATCCGTGACATACTCAGGCAGCCGCCTCATTGGATCTCTTTGAATCTAACGCTGAGAGAGTCAATTTCCCAGCCTGCGTTTCCTTCAAAGCCGATCAAATGGCCCGTGGCAATCTCATCGCTGGGAACTCCCCCGTCGCCTCCCGTAACCCACGGGACTCCTCTGTTCGTCAAGAAACTCAGCTGATCGATGCGATAGCCGGTCCGGAGGGACCAGGTGGCGGTGCCGTCTTGTGGGAACATAAACGTCTGGTACATGTCACTATCCTTATCGGGATGGTTGTAGATGTTGCTCGAGCTCCCGTCGGACCAGGTGAGTCCGATGCCCTTGAGAACCCATCTGTCGCTGCAGTTGCCGCTGCCCCAGCCGCACCAGACTTCGAGGAGCGTCACAATTGCGCTGGGATCATCGGCGTAGAGTTCGTACGGATTGCCGCCGTCTCCGCCATACACGGACGTTTGTTCCGTGGCCATTGCGTATGAGAGAGCTGCGGGAATATCGCGCCGGTGCAATGTACCCGTTTGAAGGGGGGAACTGGGTGCCGTAGGCTGTGGAAACGGAGGGAGGGCTGAGCCTGGTGGGATTGCCAGCTTATATGATTCTTCTTATGGCGTCTCCGGGACCAGCCAAGGTGAATCGCCGTTAGGAAGTTGTCGTGATGAGGCATTTGTTCGAGTCACACGGAATAGGCCACCTACCAAGACGGGTCAACCGAGCGTGACACAGCTTCCCAGTGCGCAAGACAACTGACTCGAGCTCGCGTGGCGGTAGCATCGCTTGCGTGACGTGCGTATCGGTAAGAATCGTGCCCTTTTGGCTGTCGAAATGACGTGTAATTTTGGCCCTTTGTCACCTCCCGAGGGGGCTTGTCTGTCTCCCGTCCAAAGCCTGAACGGGGCCACGTTCGGAATACGTCGGGCTTATCGTCAGACTCGCGGAATCGAAATGTAGGCACTGTTTCATCCACGGCGTCATGTCCTGCGGACGCATGAAGCCCGATGACGTGTCTACGAGGCGGGTTTCCAGGAAGCCTTTCCACTGGCAGCGTAAACTCCTACCACTCGTCATGTTTTCAGTACAGATTCAACTGGGACAGTCGAGGCGTCGATCTCGGGGTCTCGATGGCCACCTTCACGATATTGACGGGGGAGTGGCCGTTGGCGTTCATCGGTGCCCTGGACTGTCGGCGTTGGGGGGTTGTTTTTGTCGACTGTCGTCCCCTTCTGATACGCATTGGTTGGAACTAACGGATGCTGGAGCATTCGGATCTGCCTCGCCCAGGGGCTCTGCGCTGTCGTCGTGAACCCAGATGCGAGAACTGGTACGATCATCATGTAGAGCGTCAAGAACCGGCATAGGTTATGACATCTCATTCTATACCTTTCTATACCTGAGCATATAGCATACCTTGGTATTAAAGGTCCTTGGTTTTCTAAAAGGTCTTTGTGGCCAGAGGCTTCTATTTATGCAGCAGCCTCCTGCGCTAGGTCTTGTGACCAAGCCCTTGAGTCACGAACATTCGTGTCAATCCTCATTGCAGAATCAATTTGCTGTTTCCGCCAAGGAAGATATCTGACTCTAGAGGCACCATTCATCACATGTAGTTTTTACTTGTACTTCTCAACGACACACGTGTCGCAGCAATGCACCCCTTTCCTGTCACCAACTTGAATGCAGTCGAGACGCTTCTTCCAGACGGTGTGATGAGCCCGTCAAAATTCTTCATGTGCGACTAGTACGCGTCTCGCATGCCACATGAAGTCCTGAAAAAACCCATCCGGAGGCTCCAGTTACTCGATCCGGGCAGATAACCAAGCGTGGGGAGGTGATGGCGTCAAAGGTGAGTGAAATGGGGCACCAGCAATGGGATAGGGACAGGACACGGCGAAAGAGACGTTGATCACATTGCGGTCGACAGAGACACGAGGATGCAAAATTGCCGCTCCTATGAACAAAATATCTCAAAAAGAATGCTACTTGCTGTACCAGGGAACTTTTGCCAGTTGTATTGCACGACACAACTCGATTGCCCTAGACCTTGAGAAAAAGCAGAGAATGAGGTAAAATCATATTTGCGGATCACGTAGCCACCAGCCAACACAAGTTTCTAAGCTTTTTACTCGCGGCAGTTGATCCGTCGTTCGGTCCGGCCACGATCTCGAGAAAGAGCCAGCGGCAATGACCTCGTGCTGGGCAGATAGCAGCAGGAGCAGTCTCTTGTCATGTGCATACTCGTCTGTGACGGAGTGCACCAAAGGCCGGCCTCCATCTTAAGTGCTGCACAGGTGCTGGTTGAACTCCTCGTAGTAACGGCAACTGCCAGAGCAGCAGTTTGTCCACTTTTCGCTATTGTGAGCACAAATGAAAGGAAGACACTGCGTCTTTTTACTCAACGTACATCTTTCTCGCAGGGTTTCTGTTGGTCCAGGTCAGTTGAGAACAATGATTCTCTCAATCAGAGGACTCTTACGCCTGACATAGCACACCGCGGTATAGCCACAACCAACTGCAACATGGCGACGGCAAAGACGACGAGGACCTTCATATTTTCGCTCCGGAGACGTGTGAGGCTCGATGTAGAGTGTTATGAGGGTAAGTGAGAGACTCGATGGCCGAGGAGTAAGGTTGTGGTCTGTTCGACTGAAATAGCTGTGGTAGTTATAGTCGTTCGCTGAGATGACGGTGACTATTGTGAAGCATGCATTCTATGCTGTGAAGCATCTTATTTGAGGAGACTATATGGTGGCCTTCCTTGGTCGTAGAGGAGCCAGGACGGGATGTTGGTGAGATGTTGGGAGGATCGTACGTTTGTTGTAGCTGCAGCGGTGGATAGTGTAGCAGCCAACAACACCAATGAAATAATTAATCGTGTCATTTATAGATATTCTCCACGTATACCGTTACACGATATGCGTAAGAGGAGCTGAAATAGATTGTATATGGAACGTATATAGGATCGTACGTTTATTGTAGTTTTAGGAGTGGAGATCACAGCGGCCAACCTGATATCAACGAGGGATTCGGTTTCGTGGTAGTAGTTGCGTTGCCGCGATTCCTACATGCCGGTCAGGTTGCCCCGCACAATATAATATAATACAAAATATATTATGAAATCGCCTAGTAAGCTGGTATCGTGGCGGAGTTTTCTTAGACAAGTTCGCTATTATACGTTGGCGACACGTCGTTGAGAACGTACGGCACTAGATGACTGGGAGCCAGGGACTTGTTCTTCAACCAGCGGCGCGAACAAAGCGCTGTATAGCCTGAAACAATCACCAAGGATCTCGCACGAGACCCTCACTAAATTCCTCAGCGGTAACGAGGTCATCCACATGTACGGCGAGGATGATACTGTTTCTAAGGAACTCGCTGGCATCCTGCGTTGACTGCTTGAAACCCAGTCTGAGCAAGAATTTAGTGAGGGTCTCGTGCCAGATTCTCAGTGATTGCCTCAGGCTATATAGCGCTTTATTCAGCTTCCACACTTTATTGGTGCCGTCAGTGAAACCTTTATGCTGCTGGATGTAGGCCTCTGTCTTTTCACTGAAGAGCCAGGCACCGACGATTCCCCCAAGCCCTCCACTGTCATCTTTCCCAAGATAGACCAAGTCGTCGCCGGAACACTCATCGAGAATTCCGTATACTTGTCGGCAAGTACTGTGTTGCCGATGCTTAGTCTGTCTCCCATTCTCATCACAATTATCCTCGACGTCTCCGTCCGACCCAGCAGTTGAGCAATATTCTAGCTGCTTTGCGCTGCTCTCCCTTCTGGGAGCCCTAGCCGGCAAAAGGGATCCCATATCTGATATCTCCCACTAATTCCAGTCCGGCGGCTTTGAGCAATCTGTAGGTCGGAATGGTCATGCGAACCTAGAATCCAGCCCATTGGGTCCAAAACTGCTCCCCAGATATCAGACCCAAACACGGCGGTTTGGCTCGATTCTCGGGCAGGATACCTCTCCAGGAACCCGTCATCGTCTTTATTCGGCGGCAGGAGTACATATCTCCTGTTCTCGGATAGCTTGACCGCATGGTCTGCTCAGATGAACGATGATATAATGAGCACAATGTTGTAGAGATTGACGGAAGAGCTGGTCGAATTGAACAGGATAAGAGTCGGGGGCTCGAAAGCAGTGGAAGGATCAATTCAAGTGAATATAGCAAGTCCCCATGCAATCCCCCATGGCTACAAGTCTGCCAGTGGATGTGGCTGGGGGTTTCTTCTTGGCGCCTCCGTCTAGCTCCAACGCAGGCTTCGAAGACCCTCAGCTTATGTTGTCTCCGTACCACCTATCGCTCTCCGTAACTTCGTCCTCCTGGCAATGCAGCCATCCTGTGGCCTCTTGGGATTTGACGGTCGGTTCGCCAGTGTACATAGGCGAGGGCAGTATTTCCCCTATTGACTACATGCATCGTCGAATTCGTTCTTGTCGCTGCCGCTGGATTGCCTCCTTCTTTTTCCAGATATCCTCTTGCATTTCATTCACTATTAATGCAGTGCGTTGCCGAATGGTCTCAGACTTGACATGCCAGTCGTATTCAATGTCGCAGTTGTGTGGTTTGCGGTGATGGCTGGTCGCTACATTGCAAAAGATTTTGATGTAATATTGGAACAGACGGCCAATGTTTGGCTGGCCCTTTATCACTTCCGCACGTCCTTGTTCCCGCAGGTAGTCATCTAGTGCCTTCGCCTGTAGTCGCTTCTAGTTGCTGCCGGGTCGCCTCGTCTAGATGGTGGTAAAAGTCATCCAGAATCGCCTTTGTGCCATCTCGGCTGATTCTTTCTCGGATGGAGAGCAAGGTCGAGGCTTCTTTGTGGAAAGAGCATACGGTGAGTTTAGAGGATGCGTTAATTCCGGCCCAGGAAATAACTTAGTGTTTAAAGAGAACTAACCCGACAGTCACGTGCTCCAACTTGCGGGTACGTATTGTGGCTTTAGACGAAGTCTCATAGTAAAATCCCCCGTCTTGCTAGCTTCCCGGTTTTTAACAGTACGACTCCCTAGCGTTTATTAACTACCTAGGTAATTACCTACATAGAGAAGTGTTTTCGCCCTTTCCACCACATCCGACTATCGTCGCTAGAGAACTCCGTACTTGCACACCAACCTACACAGCGCAGCTACCTTGACTCTAACTCGGGCCGCCTCCAATCATGGCTCGCAAATATGGCAAATACGCCCACTTGACCCCGCCATTTGCATTGATGGTTGATGCCCTGCCCCGCCAAACTCGACGATTCACGGCGCGAGGAAAATTGATGACCACACCAAGAGACGACGACTCCCAGAGCTGGCATTGTGTGTGTGCGCTAAACTTCCAAGTTGACCCCATTTCATCTCCATGCAATTTTTGTCCTCTTGTTCCTCTCTACCACAACAATTGGCTCAAGAGCACCGCGTGCCTGGTTCCTCTGCACGCGAGAGGCGTTTTTTATTCCGAATCAGCTTCACACGCCTTCTCTGGCCCGGCTCCACCAATTTCCTCGCCTGGTTTTTTTCTGTTTTGTGTGCCCCTCCAAACTTTTCATTTACCCTAGACTTTCTTCCACCACCATCGACCCGTCTTCGCCATGTCCGACAAGCTAACACGGTATGCAAACACCAACTCCCTTCCTTTGCTGGGTCCAGTTTTGGTTTGGAGCTGAGGCTAATCAGTTACTCGACAGTATCGCCATTGTCAACAGCGACAAGGTTAGTTGTGGCCCTTCCGTCTGCATTTTCTGCGGCCTCGTACCCCGCCGTGCTGGCCATGTCCAGACTCGACTGACCGCCCTTCAGTGTCGCCCACGCAAGTGTCGTCAGGAGTGTAAGAAGTCTTGCCCTGTTGTTCGCAGTGGCAAGCTCTGTATCGAAGTCACTCCCGAGTCTCGCCTCGCATTCATCTCCGAGAGCCTCTGTATCGGTTGCGGCATCTGCCCCAAAAAGTGCCCCTTCGACGCCATCACCATCATCAACCTGCCCACGAACCTTGAGAACCAGGTCACCCACCGTTATGGCCCCAACAGCTTCAAACTCCATCGCCTCCCCATGCCGCGACCTGGCCAGGTTCTTGGTCTGGTGGGCACCAACGGTATTGGCAAAAGTACTGCGCTGAAGATTCTCAGCGGCAAGTTGAAGCCCAACCTCGGCCGATTCGATAACCCACCCGACTGGGAAGATGTCATCAAGTACTTCCGTGGCTCGGAACTGCAGAGTGAGTTCGATAGAACCAGACTGGGTACTCGAACTGAGTCTAACCGATGCCAGACTACTTCACTAAGCTGCTGGAGGACGATCTCAAGGCCGTCGTCAAGCCTCAGTATGTCGATCAGATCCCCAAGGCCGTTCGCGGCCCGGAGAAGAGCGTCAAGGCTCTCATTTCAAGCCGCGCCTCTCTTGGCAACATGGAAGAAGTCTCTGAAGTCCTTGAACTCAACCACATCATGGATCGCGACATCACCCTCCTGTCCGGTGGCGAGCTTCAACGATTTGCCATTGGTACTGTCTGTGTGCAAAAGGCCGACGTTTACATGTTCGACGAGCCCTCGTCGTACCTTGATGTCAAGCAGCGTCTGAGTGCTGCCCAGATGATTCGATCTCTGCTCCGAGACGACGACTATGTGATTGTTGTGGAGCACGATTTGTCCGTTCTCGATTACTTGTCCGATTACATTTGCGTACTATACGGTCAGCCCGCAGTCTACGGTGTCGTCACACTCCCACACTCCGTGCGGGAAGGCATCAACATCTTCCTGGACGGTCATATTCCTACAGAAAACTTGCGTTTCCGTGACGAGTCTCTTACCTTCCGTCTTGCCGAAAGTGCCGACGAATATGTCATCGACAAGTCCCGCGCCTTCAACTATCCCAAGATTGAGAAGAAGCTCGGCAACTTCAGTCTGAACATTGACGCCGGCGAGTTCACCGACTCGGAGATTATCGTCATGATGGGAGAGAACGGTACTGGCAAGACCACATTCTGCCGCCTCTTGGCCGGTGCGCTCAAGCCCGACAGCAAGGCCTCTGTCCCTGATATGCGCATCAGCATGAAGCCTCAGACCATCACTCCAAAGTTCGACGGCACCGTTCGCCAGCTTTTCTTCAAGAAGATCAAGCAGGCTTTTCTGAATCCTCAGTTCCAGACCGATGTCGTCAAACCCCTCAAGCTCGACGATTTCATTGACCAGGAAGTCAAGAACCTGTCCGGCGGTGAATTGCAACGTGTCGCCATCGTCCTGGCCCTCGGCATGCCCGCAGACATCTACCTCATCGACGAGCCCTCCGCCTACCTCGACTCCGAACAGCGCATCATTGCCTCGCGCGTCATCAAGCGCTTCATCATGCACTCCAAGAAGACTGCCTTCATCGTGGAGCACGATTTCATCATGGCTACGTACCTTGCCGATCGCGTCATCGTCTTCGACGGCAAGCCCGGCATCGATGCCCACGCCAACCGCCCCGAGTCCCTCCTCACCGGATGCAACACCTTCCTGAAAAACCTCAACGTAACTTTCCGTCGCGACCCCACCAACTACCGCCCTCGTATTAACAAGCTCGGCTCCCAGCTGGACCAGGAACAGAAACTAAGCGGCAACTTCGTAAGTCTTGCCCACAGTATCCCCTTCATCCATGCCCGCGGCACGGTCTTCTAACATCCCCATAGTTCTTCTTGGAGGAAACCCCCGACAAGAGCTCTTGAAAAGGGCACCAAGAACAAGCACAAGCACTTTTTCCACAAAGCATTGTCCGGCGTTAAAGGCGTTCAAAAAAAGGCCTCCTCTACGGAGTACGGAAGCGTGCACGACCTAAATACGGCGTCGCTAGAAAGCAGCGTCAGCGAGGACGACGAACCAGAGGAATAACCACGGCGACGGCAGTCTATCCCCTATTGTCTGGTCCTGCCAAATGAATAGCCTGTCCTGTTGGATTTTTTTTTAAATTGTCTTATTTTCTCGCGGGGTTTTTGCCTTTTTTTGTCCTGTCTACTCGTTCCCTGCGCGGCAATCGACGATTCACGGATGCAGAGAGCACCGCACAAGCCGGGAAGTAGAGGATGAGCAAGAATCAGGCAGGCCATGGTGATTTTGGCAGATTGAGGGACAGTAGAGCAAGCAGGGTGACTGTCGTCAGACTTCCTAGCCTCGCGGGAAGCACCACCTGGATTTCCTTAGTTTCTGATGTTCAATTCGAATTCAAAGACCCATTATGTCGGCTCGACCGCATGGTTAATATTCCCAGGTGAATGCGCCTTTGCTACACTGCACTTGAATATTTTGTTGATGAATATAAATATGTGTGTATTAGAGAAAGAAAATAACTACCACTACTCGACTACGGCCACAACATAGAAAAGTCGATGCTTTCTACCACGATAGCCATACATTTAGGGGATTCAAGGAAACTTGGCAAGGAGTCAAGTTGATATCCATATGGGCTAGAAGTGCTAGTAAGTAAGGAAATCAATGTAGTTGAAGGGGATATGAAGAAACCGCGGGCTTATTCTTCAATTTCTCCCTCCTCACTACCACTTCTGACAACCTCCTTGGCAGGCGCCGGGGGAGTCCTCGGGCGTGTTCGAACTTCACGGACTGCTGGGGATCGTTCGCGTGATCGGTCTCTCTTGAGTCTCTATGGGGCATGTTAGTCAAATGCGACGAAAAGACTGGTGGCGTGGTTTGGGGTGTCGGGTTCCAGGCATACCTTTGAGTCTCTTAAATCTCTTTTTGACGTGTCATCCTCGTCATCTTGTCGCCGACGTCGTGAACCTGATGGTCGCTCATCTCCATAGGGGAGTTCATCATACGAACCTCGATCAATACGGCGGCGGTACAGCCGCTCCCGTTCGTCCTCCCTGTCCCTTCGCTCACGATCGTAGTGGCTGTCGTCATCACGTCGTGAACGAGTTGGCCGGTCAGGGTCCCGATCACGATCCCGATCACGATCCCGATCACGGTCTCGTTCGCGGTCTCGATCACGGTCTCGTTCCCTGTCCCGATCGCGATCCCGATCCCGATCCCGCTCACGGTCACGATCTCTGTCACGATCTCTGTCACGCTCCCGGTCCCGTTCTCGTCGTGGCGGCGGAGACAATCGACCGCCGCGGTCGTTGGTCAGGAGATTTTCTGCCATGGCTGATTTGCGGTGGTTTCGTTCCCTTTCTGCGATGGCTTTGCGCCGATCGGCTTCATACGGGTCCTGCTCTGGGCTACGACTGCGCCTTACAGGACGGGTACCACGTTGAGATCTCTCACCTCTAGATCGGTCTCTTTCACGACGGGAAGTCTCGCGTTCAGTGGAAATGCGGCTTCCCCGTCTGTGGCCACGATCGGCGTCGTCATCTTCCTTTTCTCGAAGCCGCCTCATGTGTCTGTCAAAAGCGCCTCTTCGGAGGTCTTCGGAACTGACGGCCTGGAACTCTTCTGATTTCAGTAGTCGAGGTCGTACCTTTTCAAATGTGTCACCCGGCACGATGGGCGGATCGAGACGTTTCAAGTGTGCACGCAGGTCTTCAACGGCGCGCCGTTGTTGCCGATCAGATTGTTTGTCATCGTCCCGCTTGGCAGCGCGTTTCTCGCGGAGCTGTAGTCCATTTTAGCCCCCAGCTGGGCAGCAGCGGACGGAAATTCTGAATAGGGGGCTAGACTTACCCGTTCAAAGATCAGTTGCAAGATGTCAATATCAATGTTAGCAGTGCGTCGATCATCCTTCATGATAGAAAGAAAGCCTTGGAGATCGCTCGTTGGAGTGAGCTCAAACCGTTTATCCTGCGGGGTCGTTAATCAGTGCGATCAAGGGTAGTCTGTGGCAAAGCGTACTTCAAGAACATCTAGAACGTCATTTCTCGGTCCGCGGAGGGATCGCTCCTCTTCCTCGACAACATCCCAGAAGAGATCTTGCGGCGTTGAGCCATCTTGGCCCAACATGTTCGTATATCGCTCGTCTCGCTCCAGCTTCGCATAAACCTGACTCCATTTGACACCGGGTTTGATAATGCCGTCTCGTCGAAGCTCAGAGAGAAGTGACTTGAATGCATCCCGAGCCTTACGTTCTCTTCGATACTTCATCTTTTTCTCGTGCTGCTTCTGCTCATTCAAAGCGCGCTCGAGCGACTTGATATGGTCCTGAAAGGTGATCAATGTATCATACTTGGTGAGAGCCTGGTATTTTTGGTCGTTTCGGAACGCCGTAGAGATGATGTCCTGGGCCTCGCTCCACCGAGTGTAGGCCTTGATACTGAGTTTTGGAAGGAGATCCTTTAGCGCTTCAAGAGCATTCTGGCGGTCCCTTGTCTCTTTCTCCTTGTGAGCTTTCTTCAGTCCAACAACATATTCCTCGAACAGTTGTCTGCGTTCCTCTTCATTGTTTGTCGAGCGGAAGATGGTCTCGCCCTCAATCATTGGCCGGGCTGTCTTCCAGCGAGTGTAGTGAGTGATTTCGGGGTGCCGCTTGAGCATGGTCTCGAAGTCAGCGCGAAGTTTGGTCATGCGTTCCTCTGCACGCTCCTTATCCTGAACGATCATGTCCTGGCAGTACTTTTCAAATGCGTCTCGTCGGCCTTTCGGGTCTCGAATTGACCGGTACTGCGGATCCTTAATAGTGGCTCGTATAGTATCGCTCCAAGTCCAGTCTGGCTGCACTCCGGTGCGCTTCAGCAATTTTATGAATGCAGCCTCTGCTTCTTCCGGGGAGGCGTACTCGGGTTCGTCACTAGCAGCTGGGATGAATGCCGGCGCCTTGTGTTCGTTTCCGTAGCCTACATGGCGCGAATCAGGGCCAGAATATTCGCGATGATCACGAAAATCACGGCCTTCTCGATGGTGTTCGTGGCCGCCGTGCGAGTGGCCGCCGTTCTGACCATAAGCTGGCTGGCCACCAGCCTGTCCAAGAGCATTTCTATAGGCATCAGGCATCTCCCATGAGCTCTGCTTTGTTTCGGTGTTGTACCAGTATTTTCGGCCGCCTTCTGCTGTGTATTCTTTCCATGGTTGACTTGAGAGAGCACGCTGCACAGCGAGTTAGTCAACACTGGTTTTCAAGACAGCGCGATGATGCAACATACCTCTGCAGGCGTCATCAAATCCTCGGGCTTAGTCCACTGCGTCACCTTGGTCGCGCTATTGTAGTAATAGGCCCGGCCATCAGGAGTGTGATGCTCCTGCCAGGCCGAGACGGCTTGAGCACCGTACCCGTTCATCGCGTCGAGCTGCCGCTGCGATTCTGATGCTCCGGAATAAAGGTTACCGGCGGTACCACTGCGATAAAGATGCTGTTGCGCATGCGGGCGCGACGGCGATGGATGCAGTTGACAACGAAATGGATGATGGATCCAGAGCGAAGAGGCTGCTGGGTGCAGTTTCTGACGCACGGGCCAATAGAGAGGCTGCCATGTAACAAAGCGGGGCCACTTCTGAGGCACCAAACGTCACTCCTCGAGTCTCGAGGTTCGCCATCCAACGAGATCCATTATCCCAGCCTCGTCCAGGAGACGGGCTTGCTGGCTGGTGAAAGATGGCACTTACGAGATAAACCCTTCGATGACTGGAAAGATATATCCGATTTCAACGGTATGGCTGATGCTGGTGAACGCCCCGACGGCGTCACCCTCGACAACGACGCTCCAAAGGCTTCTGGGAACCTCCTTGAGCAGTCGTATCTCGCATACGTTGTGCCTGCAAGGACAGAACTTGATCTAGAAAGCGTATTTAAAGATGTCGATCCCGGAAAGCCAATTTTCGAATCAATAGAGCAGAGAGAATTGCTTTTGTTTGGTATGGAAGATCCATTTCGCTCCACGCCAAGTTCGCTCACCAACGTCGCGGCCAGATGAGACCGTTGAAGTCCTCCTCATTCTCAAGATGCCATGTTCGGAAGAAAAGGACCTCCACGCACAAATCAAACGACTAGTCATCTCTCTCGAGTGCCAGATTGTTAATAGCACCCCGGCAGACAGGAGCTCACAGCCAGTGTCTGAAACGATCTTCAAAGGACGCGCCCAGGACATCACAGATGCCTTCATGCTCGTGGACAAGCTGCGGATGGATTCCGGACACAGCTCCTCTCAGAAAGTCTACGCCATGTGGAAACTACCCGTCTTCTTGAGCCGGCCTAGAATACGGCTACAACACCCCACAGTCGTCTTCACCGCATCCGCAAGCGTCAAGCCCGATGCCAGAGGCGACGGCGCCGGCACCTGCGGCACAGGATATCTCCAGAGCGGCATGCCGTCCAGTTTCAACCTTCTCGAATCCTTCTCCTCCGACCCCGCCCTCAACGGCATCAAGCCGCGCCTGTCCGCCCTCCGCGTATCCAGAGTCGCTCCCGGCAGCAGACAGCAAGACCACGTCGTGCACCTCCGCGCTCAACCACGCCTCCGAATTCCCATCCACCCCGTCATCCACACCCGGGTGCGCTTCTCCCGCCCCAACACGCCCCAGTCGACCTCCTCGCTCGTCGCCATGCTAGAAGTTGACTTCACACCCCACGTAGATTGCGAAGTCGTCCTCCAAGAGATCAAGCTCGTCACCAACGACGGCACGGTGCAGAGCCTCAACGACGAAGAGCAAATGCAGCTGCCCATGAGCTGCGTGTCCCACGACCACATCACGTTCCTCTACCACATCAAACCACACCAGGTGGATCAGGCGCGCAGAGGCTTCACGGGATCACTCGGCGTTTCCATCACCGCCACCGCCCAAGTCATCCCCGGCGTGTGCACCCCCAAGCTGACCATGAGCTGGAACGCCGCCCTCGACTTCACCGTCCCTGTGAACCCCAGCTTCAGCAACGTGCCCGAATCGTCCGGCATCCAACGAGCCCACAAGCCCTCGCAGCTCTCCATCGGCAGCAGCGCAGCCATCACGCCCCTGAAATCCCCATCCATCACCCGCCCAGACGCCCTGCCCGGCCTCGACGCTTCTGCCCGGGCCGAGGCCGCAGTCCCCGATCTGGGCATCACCGTGTCCTTCACGGGCCCCTCGGAGCCCGTCCACCCCGGAGACGTCTTCCTATGGACAGTCCACGTCGTGAATCGGTCATCGGAAAAGACAAGCCGTCCGCCGCGGAAACTCGCTCTCGTTGCGGTGCCCAGGCGCCGCCGCAACGACACGCGGCCTGCCCGCCCTCCCTCGACTGCGACCCGGCGGCAGGGCGAAAAGGAGATAGCCGACGCCGTGGTGGACATGAATATTCTGCACGCCCTGCAGAAGAACTCGGCAGTAGACGCAACCGACGTGATTTGCCTCAGTGCCGATACCCGCGTGGGACCCTTGGCCCCAGGGGCCTGCCACGTCGCCGAGCTGCAGTTCCTGGCCCTGCGCGAGGGCATCGTGGGTGTCGAGGCGGTCAGGGTGGTGGACTTGGGGTCCCAGGAGCATGTTGACATACGCGACTTGCCGACCACGGTAGTAGAACCCGCCCCTGCGTGAACACCACGTGAAAATGCAATAGAATTTATAATAATTGCACATGTCCTTGTTCAGCCAACGTCATACATGTCCGTGCCAAGTCAACTTGAAATGCCTCGCGGCCATTAAATGAAACCATGGCCTGTTTGTCCCGACAAACTCCAATGATGTAATGCATGATGCCTAGGCCGTCTTGTTCTCGCTTCTCCCATCCTTCCCAAGCAAGTGCCCGCTTGTGCCCTCTGCGTTACCAACGCCTTCAAAATGCTTTTCTTTATAAACCCTCATCAAATGTCATCAAAGTCATCGTCCCAACCCAGTTTCTCGTAAATCGACATCATCCTTTGCTCTTGAGATTCCTTCACAGGCACTGGACTTTGGATCAAGTCTAGTCTTGATATATTCTTCCTGACTAGTGTTGCCACGACCCCGTCGGCCGATTTGGCGGGCGATCGAAATCCTGTTGAGCCTCCGACCGTGCTTTGAGACCCGAACTCACCTACCGTGGTTGTGTTTCCGTTCGTCAGCGGGGATGATGGTGGAAGCGTTGGCCTGTCATGGACCATACGTCTCATAAAATCGGCCTGCAACGAGGCCCGGGCTGGTGTTCCACCAACAAGGTCCAAAGCGGGCAAGATACTACTACTATCCACCAAAGCGTCTTTGTGGCCATGCCTGTGTCCTGTGGATGGAACCAAATAGTCCACGCTTGAGGGAGGTATGAGTTCCTCTACGCTTTCTAGAGGAACGTCTATAGACGATTCTTGATCCGTGGAGAATACGTCTCTGAAGCGATTGTTTGCCGGCGTGGCCTTGACTTGAATTGAAGGAGCCAACACAGTCCTGGGCGTCTTCTTTGTTTCTGCTCAGGAGGTTAGTCTTCACTGCAATCACACAGCTCAAGGTATGACATGATGGGGAACCAACTCTTTGAGGACAGGCTAGTCATGGCCCGACGATCGTCTGCTTCCGCCATGGCCTTGCCAACGACCTCGCGATTTGGTTTCCTCAGTGCGGAAATTGCATCCTTCAGCTCGGCTTCTACCAACGCCTTCCTACTTGCTTTGGTTTCTCCAAGGTTACTTGTGCTGTTACTCCGTGATAGGGACGTTTGTCTTGGCAGGGAGTCTCCTCCTGGCAGCTCTTTCAAGGACAAGGGCTCACTCCCCTCGCGCTTTATTCTTGACACAGATGTTGACGTGGCAGATCTTAACAGTGCGATTGTGCTGCCGGGGCCTCTGGAAACGCTGCGCCGATGTAGCTGCTCCGTTGATAGAGCTCGTTGCAGCGTTCTCCTCGAACCAGGGGGAGCTGGTCGCTTTGTAGCGGCTCCTGGCTTTAGCTCCTTCTTGCTAGAGAATCGCTTTAGTGCCTTGGATTTAACAGGAGACGCAATGATCGGGCCGCCAAGTTTGCGGTTGATCGCATCGCATCGCTCTGGCAATCTGGCGGAAAAGCTACGGGAATTTTAGCAAGCACCTTGACAATATCAAGACACAACACTTACAAGGGTACAATCACATCCACACAAAAGTCCTTCAGGGGCTCCGACGAAGGTTTCTGCTGGATCTGGCCGGCTGCAGAATTATGTGCCGCTTGAGAGTCTGACAACAAGACATGTTCATCGTCGGCAGTAGACTGCCATATGGTTAGTCGGTCGGCGTGTACATCCAACAAGACGGGCAAGTTATGCTTGCTCCGCTTCTTAGGCAGTGGTGCCATGTTCTGCTCTTTTTGGGAGTCTGCTCCTGGCAAGGTGGGCAAGTTCGAGCCCGCGGGTTCTTCCATGGCCTTCAACGGCTCCAGAGCAAGAATTTCTAGTATCAGAATCATTTGAAGCTGAGTCTCTCGGGTGCGAAGCATTGATACGTGCGACTTGAGATGCGCTGTCGAGGTTGATGCTTCTTCTTGATTGGTTTCCGGCTTGATCGCATTCCACCACCTGCGGATGTTTTCATCTTCCAAGGGATACAATGAATCCTTTCCCGGTTTCATTTTTCTGGGCTTCCGCTTCTTCTTAGCGCCCTCGTCTGAAGTCTCGATCAGAGTCTTCATTTTCGTAATCATGTCTGGAATAGTTTCGCGATACTTTTTGTCTATTTGCACGGTCGTGAGGATCAAGCCCTTCAAGAAGTCTATCAAGTCTGCCATGTTCAGGGTGGACTCGAGATCCAGATGGAATGCAGATCGCGCTCGCGAGAGGGGTCCTTTGGCAAAATACGCCAACGAGCCCTTGAAGCAGTTAGCAGCTGAGCCATGCCATAGTTCAGGGGGGTGATCCTACAATAGATCTGTACAGTGCTTCAAAATACTGTGTGCGAATGTTGTCAAATATTGCGTCTGCAGTTTGCGGTGGCGAAGCTGCCGGCAGGTACGCAACGGACTGGCACGTCTCTGGGGCATCTTGTACGTTCAGAAAGCCGTGAGCCTTCTCGTCGTCGGATTTGATCTCGGGGGGTGACTGTCGGATGTGTACATCCCCTTGATCGCCTTTGTCGTTGATTCCATGCTCTTGCTGCACTACCTGAGGCTTTGGTTTCTTCCTGACGAGGCTTTGAATAGCCTCGATGGCTGCTCTCTTCTTCTTCTGTTCTCTGTACAAATGGGGCGTCGTCAGTGGCGCACCGAATTCCGTCTCGGGTCTGTCCTGCTTGGCTGGAGTCAGACGTTGGTGGCATATTGCCGTAGCCCGCCTTGCCAGCTCTCCAAGATCGACCCAAGAACCAAGTTTGCACATAATGTACAGCCCATTTGGTTGGCTTTCAAGAGCGTATACTGTGCGTTTTGACTCGTTTCTCGCAACCAGAATGCTTGGCGAGGAGCCTAGGCGATGCTCAAGATGCAGTATTTTGACGTGCGACTCCACGAAACGGGTCTGTGGCAATTCGGCATCGGGCGAAGAAAAATCGAGACTGCTAAGAGGCAAATACTCTCGGGGAAGAAGCATCAACGGCAACAAGAGTCGCGGCTGGGTATGCAGATTTGACGGATGTGGCTATGCATGCTTGTTAGCTAGGTCCACTGACGGGGTCTAGGCGTTGCCAGACTTTCCGACCTTGACTGCAATGGAAGGCTTGAGTAAAGGATCCATTTCCGCCGCATCTGCTCGTCTGTCGTTGCGTCCATTTGGCGAACAGAGGGCCTGACGGTTCAAGCTCCCGTCAGAGCTGGGTGTCAGGATCCCGGACCGTGGACGCGACGCGTCTGCGTCGAGCACGGCGGACGAGGGCATAAAAGGCTAGATATATTCATTCGTCAGGAAGGGCATGGCAAAAGAAAAGGACGCTTCCATGAAACGGGAAGATGAGGAAATACGCGCAGAGCACCAGTGTACAGATAATCCTGAAAAGGCAGGACGTGGTCTGCATTCGACTCAAGGTGGACCAATTCAATGTAGACGCGTCGAGGCCGGGTGCGGAATGAAGGTGACGTCGGTGCCAGCCAGCAAGTGGGGTCGTTGCCTCCTGCGCCCGCCATTTTTTAACCCAATCAAGTTCCACAAGACACCAGCGAAGACGTCTGAATTTGTCAACGGATGGATGAGGTGATTTCCTCGTCCAGCCCGTGATGAGCTTGCGCATCAATTGGCACGGCAATGGGGCCAACTGCTACTTGCACCCAGCCATCTTGGACCCGTGCTTGCAGCTTCTGGTCTGCGGCTGCCAGGCATACTCGGCTCAAGAGTCAGGCCTGTCGATGAAGACACTGCCATCTCGATTCTCTGACAAAGTTTGGAGGCTTTCTGGGCGTGATGGAGGCTTCCTGGGCGTGATATCGCAATCAGCCGCCAACAAGACGAATTGAACCGCCCTTTGCGGTGACGGCACTGGCGTTGCGAACCCTAGGGCAGTCTTTTGTTTCTCGGAGTTTGCGTGACGATAGTGGACGATCCAGGCGCAGACTGGAACAACAACCCAAGCTTCAAGTCAACGCGCGAATGAGGGTCACATGTCGATTTTAGGGGAAAGAACGTGTCCCGTCGGTACTGACTGGCCCCAAACTCATACAACGACAGCCTCGACGAGATTGGACAACCTGGTTGCATCATCTCGCGGAATACAGCTGTTGATGCAGTAATCGATGCTCAAAGCTACGCGCCGTCTGGCATCAAATCACGCCCAAGCTCAGGACCACACTGAGACGAGGGCTTCTTCCCAGAAGAGATAGAGACGGGGTAGTTATATTACTTAGATAAGAGATGATAGCTACGACGCCACGTAGAACGGGGACTCTACACCAGCAACCCGGTGCCTGATTAAAGTTGTCCAGCGCAAATGAATGAACAGCTGAGAGGAATACCACGGCTCGCTCGAGGGACGCAGGCGCTCGGGCTGCTGCTGGAGCGCACCCGGCACGCAGAGGGACCCGGGGGACGCGGGCGCCATCAACCAGCTGCCGCGGAGATGAAGAACCAGAAAATACTGCTCGCTTCCGTCACGCCATCTATCCGCCCCGGACGCAGTCGCCGTTCGGGACCTCGAGCGGCCTACCGCCGGGGAGGTCGCGGCTGAGGGCACTCGCGATGATGGCCGTCAACAGCGCTTCGAACGAGAGCCCGTTCTCGCTTGCGCTCGCTGGAAGCGGCGAATGACCCGGAAGGAGGCCGGCAATGGGGTTCACCTGGGGGGAACCAACGTTTGAAATCGTTGCCAGCAGCATGGTTGAGGGACGGGGGACACACAGAAAGGGGGGAAGGGGGAAAGCGGGAAAGGGGGAAAAGGGGGAGGGGGGAACCCGACACTCACTCACCTCGAGGACATTAGGGACGGCATCGGCATCGTTGGTGTCGAAGCGGATGTCGACGCGTCCGGCATCGCGGCAGCCCAAGGCAGCCCAGGTGTCGAGGGCAACGCGGCAGGCGGCCTTGACGTGGGCGTCGTCCATGTCGTGGGAGTCGTTGTAGCGCAGCACACACTCCTCGCTCAGCTTGCTCTCCCAGCTCGCAAACTCGGGCGTCTCGTGGTACTCGTTGCCGGGAGACGCCTGCCAGATATGCTCCCTGACGCCGATGACGCGGCCGTGAGAGCCGGTCCCCAGGATGCTCACGGTGAACTCTCTCCCCGACAGAAACGACTCCACCAAGATATCCTGCCCGGGGAAGCGGGCCTGCAGTTTCTTGACGGCGCGCTCGAGCTCCGCAAGGCTGTTGACCTTGTTGAACCCGTCGATGCCCTTGGACGAGCCCTCAATGACGGGCTTGACGAAGAGGGGGTAGTTTGGCGGCAGCGTAGCGTTGTCGAGGAGGTCGACGTGCCCGCTTCGAACGACCATGAAGCGCGCGTTGGGGACGCCGTAGTGGTCCAGGATGATCTGGTCCCCTTGCTTCAGTCCACGGCGCTCGGCACGGCTGGGGCAGACACGTGTGCGTGTCGCAGGCACTGACTGACCTTTGTATTGGCCTTGTTCTGACACAGCGCCATGGTTGCGGCGCTCGAAAACGTATACGGCACCATGTAGGCCTCCAGCAGCGCCGGCACCTGCGACTCCCTCGAGGATCCGTGGAACCCTTGCGCCATGTTGAACACCAGGTCCCAGTCCTTGTGCCGTCCCGCCACCAGGTGCTCGACGAGCGACGAGATGCCCGGCACGAGCGTGACCTGATGTCCCAGTCCCTCGAGCGCGGCGGCCACGGCCTTGACTTCGCCGTCATGCGTCAGGGCGGCACACTCCTCGCTGGTATAGCCGAGTTGGAGATACGTCAGCCTCTGCTCGGCAACCAGCGCTATTTTGAGGCAAGACTCCTTGTTGTTGGCCATAGCTATTGTTGGACGTCAGGCGTGAAGAGAAAAAAAAGAAAAAAAAATGGTGAGGGCCTGGAGCAACAACTCACTTCTACTGCAACAACACGGCACGACACAGTTTGGGTATTGAACGGTCCTTGGTTTTCCGCAAGCCCGCAGACCTCTATTTATGCAGCAACCGTCTGCCCTAGGTCTCGTGATGGTAGCCCTGGTGTAACCTCGCCAGCCGTGTGACGGAGCGGGCAGTTGATCGTCGGCCGCAAGTGATGCGTCGAAACGGCCATGATGAGCAAGTACGAATGTGGGAAAGAATCGTCGTCCTCCTCAGGCTCAGTGCTCGCTCGGCTGCCGCGTAGGTTGGGGATGGTGGACAGAAAGCAAGCATAAGCATACGGCTGCGCGTTGACATATGTGGATAAGACTTGGATGAATGCAGCTTCCTTACCCCTCAAACACAAGTTGGGGACGATGTCACTGCAAATAAACACACACGCTTAACCCCTACATCCACCGTCTACACGTGATCGCTCGCCAATTCCAACAGCGCCAGCGTCCACCGAAGGTTCGCACGCCGTAGAGCTTCTATGGCGTGAGAATCAGCCTCCTATTCGCTGCCCTGCTCGTGAAAGGCGTGCCGGCGGCCTCTCGTCGCCCGACTACAAGTCCAGACTTTACTTTACTTTCAAGCTTAAGCCTTGGGCTGTCTGAACCAGAATTCGGAACTTGCTCTGGAATGCTGTTGTTGTACGTGGGCAGTCTGGTTTAAAAATCATAGATCCTATGCCTTGGGGAAATAGACTCTGCTTTGTCAGCGGGGAGGAAACCACGCCCACCGCCACCGTACTTGGCGTTGTCCTATTATCAACACTGCAGTACTGCGCTACTGCGATATCACAATCCACACGCAAGTACACAATTCTCCGCCGGCAGCCGCGGTGCCAGTAGCCCTGCCCATCTACTAGTATCTCTCCTTCCGTGCCGCCGAAGATGAGCGCCTTTTCCCCACTAACCTGTCACCGCCAGTCGCCCATCAACATGTCGTATAGATGGACCTTCCAGCCGAAGAGCAAACACAACCTACAGAAACACCGCCCTGAGCTCAGCGGCGGCGGCAGCAGCAGCAGCAGCAGCGATAGAATCTACCGCGCGAACTCGGGCCGTGCTACGTTCGATCGCATGCGTGACAAGGCCCAAGGTTCGAGGAACGGGCAAGGCCATCAGTCAGTCGCCCTGGAGCGCGGGACCTTTCGACTTCATCCCCCGTGGTCGACGTCTCAAGCAGCGGCCCGGCCAGGCCAGCTGCGCCGCCGTGAATACCCTTCGCAACCTACCTCGACTTCTTGGCCGAGAAGGACGGGCCGAAGCTGAAAATTTGCAACAGGCGGCGCTGGCGGGCCGATCCAAGACAGCCAATCCCGCAAGTCGAGTGACGGTGGGCGTGGCCACGATGGCATGATGACGACTCGAGGCCATTGACGGCCCGGACACGCCAACATCATATACCATTCCTGCCGGACGAGCCCGTCGACAATGTCCCCCGAGCAGCAGTCCCTCCAACGGGGGCCGTCCAGCACCGACGAGTGTCCGCGGAACGCACAGCCCGTGTATACATGTACGTGGCACACTGGACGGCGTGGCGGAGAGCCGTGTGGACCTTGACATCAGCCGTCGTCGACATGCCGGCGGGCAAGCAAGAGAGAGCAAGCACCAGCGCAACAACCTGCCCAGACGTGAGCGGAAAATGTCTCGCGCGAGCCACTTAAGGACAGTGTACAGGAGCAGCACGTCCCGGGAGAGCGCGAAATGCTCGACCGAATGGGCCGAGACCTGCAGCAAGCACTGTATCGCGCAGGATGCGGGTTCGTCACCGCAGACAGCGGAGGTCACACGGCCATAATAGGCTTCCATTTAACCTTTGGATCGCAGGGCGCGCAAGACACAGGCAGGACACCAGGATGGGAAACCCTCACGCACCTCCAGTCCCGGGGGGACCCCAGAGTTTTGTCGAAATGGTCGGTGGCCCGTCAATAGCGGGCATTTTGGCGTTTTGGCGTTTTGGCGGGCAACGGGTGCTTGTCCCATGATTTCTGGGCTGCCATCCCCAAGGGGAAACACAAAAGCAGGCACAAAAGCAGGCACAAGAGTTGTCGAAACAGCCCTGTGGCATGTACGTACATACATACGTGGGGGTTTCTGTCTGAGGGAAATTACGGGAGAGAGAACCTTGTTCTGCGGACTCGGTCCTCGACGTCTGCCAAGAATCGTGAGCCATGGCTGCAGACAAAACGCCGCACCCAAGAAAAGATGTGTCTTTTTTCAGTGCTGGTCTCCTGCGGGAGCAAAAAAGACAAAAAAATAAAAGGGGGGCAAACCAAGCTTGGAAAAAAAAAAGAGTACTTTGTCGCGTCTCGCAAGTCTCCCGTCGTCAACAGAAGACAGGAGTGAGTGGTGCCAGCCGGAGATGCAGCATCCGCGGACGGGGCCAATCCAGCGGACCAGAACGGGCCACAGCAACCCAGGCCGCCATGTCCCGTTCCGCGTTCCGCGTTCCGGGGAATCGAAGGGAAACAAAAGAGAAAAGGGGAGGGGCCGTCCAAGCGTCCTGCATTCACCTCGCTCCACGGGAAGTCAATCGGCCCAGAGCCAGGCTTGGCACATGCCGCGATCGGCTAGCCCTCTGTCGTACAGGTCCATCATTATCGTGGTTACATGGGGGGGGGCATTTTCTTTTCTTTCGAATCGAAAAAGGGAAGAAGAAAAAGACCGGACAAACCGTCAGCCCGTCAAACCGTACCTAGTTGAGCCACACGGCGTCTCTTTTTCCCGCCAAGGGCCGATCCGGCACCGGCCGTCCCCATGCTTGCGCGGGTACACCATCTTTTTTTTTTTAACGGTGGGAGGGAAAGCAAGGGCAAGGCGAACGAACAAAGGGAGTTCTCGAGCGCGCAGGCCCCTTTGTTTAACTGTCGCTTACAAGACCAGAAAGGGACAAGAGAAGCCGGACATGGACATGGATACGAGGGGCTTGGACATTTTGCATTTGCGTCGGGTCGGAATTGGCTTTGCCTTGGCTGGCTTGGGGAGGCCCCTGGCAAGCTGGGCGCTGGGCTCTGGGCTCTCGTCGCATGGTGAGGAGACGAGACGTACATGCCTGCTTTGCGCATACGTGCATGTTGCAGCGCGGGCCACGCCACGGAGTTCCCTCGGATCTCGAATACGGGTAATGGGTAAACTCTATTCTCTCGTCACGGGCAGCCAACGAGCTGAGGGACTCGGGTTCCTGGCAAAACCTTGACCAGACAGACGCGTGCGTTCTCTTCGCTCCCCCCCCCCCCTCCTCTTCCGAGGATGGCAGGACGGCGGGATGCCCTTTGTTTCATGTCTGGGCAGTCGTCGGCGTCACAGCTACGTACTCCGTACTACGGAGTACACCGTACAACAAATGCTCCGGCGTCGGGCGTGGCTTCTTTTTCGTGGCATTGCGCTGCAGCCGACCGGATCGAGAAGACGGGCAAACGGGACGGCTTCACCGCCGGGGGCATGAGAACAAACAGCGAGAGGAGAGAGAGAGAGGGCATCTGAGCATCTGGAGGGAGAGAACCAACAGACACAGACACAGACACGGCAAGACGAGCACCAGCACCAGCACCAGCACCAGCATGAGCACCAGCACCAGCACACGTATCTTGGCCCCGTGACGAGACGTCGAGTCCCGACCCGAATCCAGTCAACACCCCCGCCCCCCCGCAATTGCACCAACACGTGAGCGTCGTCGCATCCGCAGGCAGCACAGCGACTAAAACGTCCAGTCTTCTCCGGGAGGGACCGCCGCGCGACATCCAATCCCCACCGCAACCATGCAAGGCGATATTTATAATTATACGGAGCACGGAGTAACTACGCGAGAAGACAAAAAGGAAAAGGGGTGGCGGGGACCAGACCTAGACCAAGGGGTAAACAGTCATACTAGTAAACCCGTACTCCGTAGTCCGCAGTCCGTAGTGACAACAGCATCAGCAGCTGCATCGACAGAATGCGTCCCCGGGCCCTGGAGGCACGTCCCGCGAGGCGAGCCCGGCTCCTCCCTCCCCCCTCCCTTGCCCTCGCCGTCCCATGCAAAGGCATTTAGATTTTAGCTTCGTTGCATCGACGCATCCCCGTCCCCGGGAGGAGTCAGGACAGCAGGCGGCCCTCGGAGATGCAAGCGAACGCGACGCGAGGCAGCGCAAGGCAGCGCAAGGCAGCGCACATCGCAACGGGGGCCCCTGTTCCTGCTCTCCCCCAGTCACACCCTTCCCTTCCCTCCATCCGTTCCCTTCGTTTCGTCTGTTCGTTTGTTCGTTCGCTCGCTCCCTCTCAGGCACTCACGAGTCACGAGTCGCGAGTCCCGAGTCACGGTCGCTGTGCCTCTGCCCTGCCCTGTGTCTCCGACGCGGCCGAGATGCGAGATGCGTCACGACGAGTCTGTCCGTCCGTCCGTCCGTCCGTCCGTCCGTCCCTCCAGCCAAGCAGGCGAGCAGCCAAGCAGCCAAGCAGCCAGGCACCACCACAACACCAGTACAAGCGTCCAGGACAAGATGGGGAAAAAAAGAAAAAAAGGGGGGGCACCCAGTGATGCCGTTTTCTAGAAAAATTATCCTCCCGCCTCTCTACGACCACCAACAGCAAAGCAGCAAGTAATTACCAGCCGCCAGTCGGTGGTTAGCCGTACGCCCCTCCACCTGCCCGTCTTCTCAACGAGTCCGCCACTCCTCGAGCACGTTGCCTCCCCCCCCTCAAAACCCCACCCCGTGCCATCCAGGAAACAATTCCCCTACCATTGTAGATCTGCAGACGCCACCATCGCCGTCTTCATCGTCGTCGTCCTCGTGCTGCTTGGTCCGACGGAAAAAGAGTCCAGAGTCTGCGCTGCGCCGCTCAGCTGGTTCATCGCCGACGGTGCGGGCTGCCGCAAACCCTTTCTCCTCGCCTGGGTGTGCATGTTGGCTACCTTAGGTACCCAAGTACCTACTTAAGGTACATACCTACCTAAGTACCTAGGTACTTAGGTACTTAGGTAGGTGCTCGAGGACGTTTGCCAGTCCTTTGTAGGGTGCATACTTCACTCGAAAGTTCAGGCCAGTACCTGGAAGTAGAGACAGGCAGGGACAGCCAGGAGGTCAGCTACGTCATCTTGTAACTATTATGCCAGCCATGTGGCGAGGCGTCGGCTGTTGGTCTACCTCCGAACGAACCTGCATCCCCCATTGCGCTCTCCTGCAAGTGCCAAGGGCACAGCGCCAGCCAGATCCCCGGACCCCCGTCACCTTGTTTGATTTTGACCAGCCCGTACCGCTCAGACACACCTCGTCAACTGTATTCAGCATCCAGAATTGGGTAATGCTTGCTAAAGAACCACTTTTTGGTCGCCTATGCCAAAAATTATCTCGAGAAAGGCTGTAATAAGCCCCATGTAAATCATATCCCCTTGTCCTTGGGTATTTTTGCCCTCCTCACATCGCTGTACCGAAGCGCCAAGAATTTGCACAACATTTTTACAAACAAAAAACACCATGGTCCCATCCTCCCATGATAATATGATATTCATTACATGCGCAAAGGCGTGCGCAAAAGCAGAAAGAAAAAAGAAAAAGAGGGGGTTCGCGACACATCTCCCTGGGCCCCCAACGTCTCAGGCTCGTCTATCTGATCTTCCATGCAGGTAGAGGGCCTGGCAGCACGGCAATCTAGACCGCAGCTGAACCTGCATTGTTCATGGTTGAAGAACAAGAAAACCGTAAACTATTCACACAACTGACCCTGGCGTAGAGTCATGTACGGGGATGAAGCTAGTTTTGAACGTGACCAAGAGCCGTGAATCTTTGTCGTGAATTCGAGCATGTGGATGTTGCCGAAGGTGACAAGTCCGACCAATTGTACTCAGAGTTGCCGCTGGTGCCCATGAAACCAAAACAAGGTTGCCCCAGTTGTGTTGGAAACAGAGAGGCCACCTGGTGTTGACCTGTACATTGTGCGTTGTTGTTGAGTATGTAGCTGGCAAACGCCGCAGGGTTGCTGGCCATTTCCAGCCCGCGATTGGCTCGGTCAATGCCAGGGGCCACGATGGTCTCTTCAGAGATGCCCAGCTCATATCCGGCGCCGAGGTGGAAAAGGGAGTCGCCAAAGCCTGGAGTGGTCGGTGGTGTGCGCAAGGTAGGATCAGACATCACAACATCGGGTGGCGTATACTTGCCTTCGAGCGAGTACAGTGAGGGCATGGCAGCATCCACCGACCCGTGCTGCTGAAGGGCAACAGGAGTGTCCGGCGTGGGGGGTGCCGCAGATCCTTGGCGCGCAATTCCATTGGGCGAATGCCTTCGCTGGAAAAGAATGTCTGCACCTCTGTCAAAGAATGGGCTTCGAGGCGTGGCAGCAGACTTTTTCACACGGCCCGATCCCGTGCTGGAAGAAATCCTGCGCATGGAGACGGCTCCATCGCCCGCTCTCGAAAAGTCGCAAGCTCTAGACGAGTACGAGTGGCTCCGGCCACCGGCGATGGATAGCGGCGCCGGGCGTCGATTTCGGCGACTGGCAATGTCAGCCCCTTCAGGAGACCTTGGCTCCGAATCGTCGGAGAACGGCGACGAGTCGCCATCTTGCCCACGTCTGTCCACATCGTCTTGGTCACCAAACCCGGCCAGGAACTGCTGCTCGGCTGCCTTCGAGGCGACGGCTAGCATGGACCTATCCTGCATAGCCAAGTATTCATCCATCTGGTCCGACAGGGCACAGTTATCATCGTCCTCCTGCTCAGTCTTGACCAAGAGTCCGTTCAACCTGGCCTGACCATCAATGCTGATTTCCTGCGTCATGGGGAGCGAGAGCGGTGAGAGAAGGTCAGATTCATCGCTTTGGCTATGCTCATTAGCCTCGCCCGATGGACAGGGCGACAAGGCGGCTTCCGACTCTGGCTTCGTGCTCACGCCTGGTTGGGGGAACGGGGCGCTGGAAGCAACCAGGTCACGTTGACGCATGTTGTCAGGTTGAGAACCCTCCGAGGCTTCGGACCTCTCCTTTTCCAATCGCTGCTTCGCCTCATATTCCCTGATGTTGTTCTCTTTCTTCTCACGAGCACGTCTGTTTTGAAACCAGTTCTATCTCCAAGTGTTAGCACGCGAGACTGGGGCAATGCCAGGCTTGTCATTCATGGCGAGATAGTACTGACGTTGATGCGAGCATTGTCGACCCTCATGGATTCAGCCAGGGCTTTTTTGGTCGTACTGCTAGGTTTGTGGTTCTTCTGGAACTCGGCTTCCAAAAGTTCGACTTCTTCCTTTGAGAGACGGGGTTTCGATTCAGTAGCCCTCGGCATCTGGTGGTGTTGGACCAGCCGGCTGGGGTGAGGCTGATAGAGGTCCAGAGAATCGTGGAGGTAGGCGGCGGGATAATTGGAGAAGTGCGTATAAGTCGGAAATGCATCTGCCATGTTGGAATAGGGCCATGACGGCCATTGCTGTTGGGAGAAGGGTCCCATTGTGTGGCGCTGCCAGACTGTGAAAAACAAGCAAAGAGGAGGACGAAAGCAATGAGGATTGCACAACGTGCCCGAGGTGCTGTAGGCAACAGACTGGAACAAGCCAGGACGTGTAAGGCAAGAAGAGCAACGCAACGTGATAACACAGCACGTAAGCGCCAACCAAGAGAGCAGTGTTGATTTAACGAAAGGACGCAAGTTTTTTGAAAAGACTTCCAGAACTTTGACGGCAAGGAGCGGACGTGTTATCTCTATTGAATTTGCAAAAATTCAAGGCCGGGAAGCGGGCCACAAAGTTGGCGTCGTCTCTTTATGAAGAAGGGTCGGGTATATGGCCCAGGCGAACTGACAAGGCGTCTAATGGTAAGATGGAGAGATTGTCGGAAAAGGGTAGGCAAGGGTGAGACACTACCCAGCTAAAAATGTCTAGTATTGCCCTGTCGGTGACGATGTTGGTCAAGGGGGCACGAAATCTGGGATGAGGAGGAGGAGTCGGCGAGGGATTGAGAAGCTGGGCGAGGGGCAGAGAGGGTAAATGAAGGAAGGGAAAGAAGGAGTCTGGTGTGTACACATACAGACACGAACGGGCACACGACACGGGCACACACGCTCGCTCGCTCGCTCGCTCTCCCTCTCCCTCTCTCTGCGTGTGCTCTCCGGCACTGCATTGGCCTAGGCCCTGGACATCGTGGGCTGTGAGATGGCGCGTGTTTGGTGCGCAACTGCGGCCCGGAGAGGGGGGGGCATGGAGCACCCTGAGACTCCAGACGTCCAGGACATGGGCAAGGAGCCAGCAGCAGAGAGCGCGCGCGAGGCAACGAGGGGAGGCGCTGGGAGGCTGTGGCGGCGGCTCCGGAGCGCTTTGTGCCCTCCAGCTCCAGGACGATCTCTGGCCGTGGCCAGCTTTGGCTGGCAGGGCCGTTGTCTCGTTTGGGGTCGGACGGGTCGTGGAGAGAGACTCGCGAGCTGGTTCCGTCTGGTCTGGCCGGCTCTGGCTGCCTGGCTGCCTGGCTGGGCAGCGCAGCGCAGCGCAGCTTCTGGTGTTCTGGTCGAGTCCACGTCCGGTTGTGTGCGTGTGTGCGTGATGCCAATGTTCTAGGAGCGGCTTGAACGGCCAGGGGGGGTGGTGATGTGGAAGGAGGGGCAGTTGGGAAGGCAGCTCTGGACCGCCTTGGGACACGCCCTGTTTTTTCCTTTTTGTTTTTGCCGTCTGGTCGTGGTCGGTCGGCCGGCCGGCCGGTCCGCCATGCTGGGCCCCCAGGCCCCTCGTCCTCGTCCATGGACCGCGGCGATGGACAGCCCAGACGCCATCTCACGCAAATCTTCATGGCCTGCCCGCCTGCCCGCCTGCCTCGTCCGTCTCCCGACGCCGCCCACTAGCCGGGGGAGGGTGTGCAAGTCCGAGACGCTTGTGGGCTGGCAAGCTGGGTCGAGCCATGGCAGTGGCGGCGTGTGGCCCGTCCAGTCAGCGCACCCGAGGGACTCATCACTCGTCATCCCTGGCAAACTCCCTCTTCATCAAGGAGGCCGCTCCTCTCGCTCCTCGCAACGGTGGAAATGGTCTCAAGCGCTGCTGGTCCATGGGCCAAGGGCCATGGCGAGCTCCTTTGGGCTTGGCTGCCGCTGGGTCTGGAGCCCCGCCTGCCTGCCCTCGCCGCCGCCGACGCCGTCCGGTCTGGTCTGGTGCGTTTATTAGCGTGTCTGGAGGGATCGCATCGCATGGCCTCGACAAAGCGACATGACGACGCCATGAGATTCCTGCCACTCACTCGGTGCGTCCAGCCAGCCCCAAGTGACGGAAGACGAGGCCCGTCGACTTGCGCCGTACGCCGCCAAATATGGCTTAAACGCTGTCAAGCACCTCCCGAAATAGTATTATGTCAGTCTGACCAGCAGCGCCGGCTCCGCCAGCTCTGTCCAACACCACGACAACCACGGAGTGAGTACCTGCTACGAAATGTCGTGACGTGCCCTTGGGAGTTCTCTGACGTTCTTGAATGCATATATGCATACATGCTTGATGTATGCACCACGTCCGTTTCGCTGGCCGCCCCATGCTTCCCCCACCTCGTGCCGTGGATTCCGTACTCCTGACTGCAATATACTATATGGACATGCGTGCATGGCTCGCAACACACATTCATGGTCCAGGGCGGGCCCTGGGGCAAGCTCCAAGCCACTTTGTACTCTTTGCCTCGCAGTCTCTCGCTTCGGCAACCCTCTTGAAGGGAAAGAAAGGGTGGCTGGCGACCTCGGCCAAAGGCTGAGTGAGAGAGAAGCCTCGCCGCGGACAGATTCGTCCCCTTCATCTGTTGGCCGATTGATGCACAAAAATTTCCAGGCATCGAACTGATGGGGGAGCATGTGCATGCGACGGGCCGGACGCTCCGCGGCCCTTTGCTGCTACACCTGTGTATCCGTCATCAAGCCGCGGCTGACTGAGGGCCCGAATCTGAGCATGCGTGGTCCGCATGCGTCAACCATGCGACCGAGGTTCCCATTACTATTGTCATTGCATGCTCGGTACAACCAGGCAAGTGAGGCTGCGCTCTTTGTCGCGGCTCTTGCCGTGGCCCATTGAAAGTGGCCGGGCCATCTGACCTCCCTCTGCCTCATCTCCATCAACTGGTATCATGCACCGTGGATGGAGAGCGAGATGTACTCCCTACTTCGTACGTACTGTACTCAAGTATGTCTGAGTGCAACATACTCCGTCCAAGTACTTCTTAGGTACGTACCAAGTACGCATGTACGCCGGGGACGCGGTACGGCGTACCCAGTCCTCCTTCCAGCCCCGTCGCCTTGTGTACGCCGCCCTCCTGCCGCCGTTCATGTCGACCACCCCTTACCCTCATTGCCTCGCAGCCAACGGAGTACAGCATGGACAGACGCGGACCACCCGCGCTCCACGAGACCTCCAGGCCCACGCAAAAAGAAGGAGCAGCAGGGGCCCATCCCGAAAGGAGCTCGCGTGGTACTCCGTACTCCTTCTGCAGGACGCAGTTCGCGCCGTGCTGAGCGGAACATGCTATGAACTCCGTACAATGGACTCGACTCTCCTCTTGTCCGTACGGCGTGCATGCGCGCCGTACCGTGGCTGCCTGCCGTACAAGATGAAAGGCATGATAGCCAAGTACCGTACCAAGCAACTCCGTAGGCTTTTCTGGCCCAAACCTCGAGGGCTGGGCAGATTCCGCTTTCGGTGGGCGCTGCGCCGTCGATATCGCTCGTCATTGGCCGTCTTTCCCATCCGCTCACACACTCACACCTCACACACCTGGCTGAGCCTGCACGTCACAGGCCGGGTGGCTGCGTAGATTAAACAGATCATGGCCCATCCGTTGGCTTTGTTGGTTCTGGCGCCTTTGTGCAACCTCCAGTCGCTGTTTTCCTGCTGGCTCACTTGGCAAGCCATCCATCCCGGTTGCCCGTCCCAGTCGACTCACCTGTGCTTTGACGATACCAGTTGACCTCTCACTCTCTGTCTCTCTCCTTTTGACAGTCGCCGTCGTATGTGGTCATTTGGGCGAGTAGGGTTCCTCCCTCCTACTTAAATAGATTGAGTTCACGGTGGGATTCCCCCATTTATTTTAGAGCGGGAGCCTTCTGTTTTTGGCAGCCCTCCGCGACGACTATCCGTTCCCCGTCCCGTCCTGGAGGTTGTGTCGCACACGCCGGGAGAAACTTCGCTCTGCTCCGTACCCTGCGTGCATTGTCATTCAACGCATGTCAACCACTTCTTTCTTTTCCTCTCCTTGCCAAGCAATATTACTATTCCGCGCCGTCCTCGGCATTAGTTTCTCTTCAAGTGTCTCGAGTCCGTATGTCTTGCTTTTCTCCGGGTCATTGATCGCTTAGGGCCCTGGCTGTGCCTCTGCTTCTTTGCATTTTTGTTCTGCTGCCATGTGCATGCAGGGAGTAGGGCGAGCTAGGCTGTTAGAGGATCGAATGCAACCCACCGCATGGAAGGTTCCGAACCCGTTGGCCGACAGCCCTGTCCGTTACCTTGCTTTAAGAAGAAAGTGGTGTCTGTGTGGTGGCGGCTACCAGGTTGCCATGTTTGCGGCGGTAGTCTAACATCGGCTTCGTGCTCTATCATCCTGGGTGATTGGCCGTAATAGTAGTCGCAAGTTATATGAGCCACCTTGCGAGAAGGTCTAGGCGCCTTACTCCGTAAACTGACTCTGTACGCCGTAGGTCCCTGGTCTTGCCGGTTCTCCTTGAAGCTTTGGCATCTCGAGCTCCGGTTGATAAACGCTCCACATGGCAGGGCCATGCGAGGGCTGCGGGGAACCAGCGCACGCAGCTCATTTACCGGGTTCTGGGTGAGGCAGCGCAGAGATGGTAGATGACAGTTGCAACTTGCAAGGCAGGTACCACACTGGTGGAAAGATTTTGCCTTGCCCTGGCTTCCCGTATCCGAATGGCTTCTCATTTAGCATTCCCGACCTTTGCCACCGAAACTATCATGCCTCGCCAGAGAATCTCGGTTGTCCATTTTCTGTCGTCACTTCTGATTTGGCACGGCAACGACGCGTCGGTGTACTGTCCTCTCAGCCTGATCGTCGAGTTCCTCGCTGGGGAAAAACTGGTGACGGATGCTGGCTACATACCCACAGAGCACCAGACTATGCGACACGGCCTCGCCATTCACACGACAGGCTCTGACTTGTATACTCTCCCCCTTTATGGTATGATGTCGTCGTTAGCGGACCCTCGGTGTGCTAGCCATCGACTCCTAACAGCTATCGGGCAGTCACCTTTAGCACAGACAGTTGAACAGAAAACCAAGACACCGGCGTAAACGCCTCTGTCTCTAGCCATTGGGCACCGAGGTTGGGTTGGGAGCTCTGGGGCTTGATTAAGACGCTAGCGAATGGTGAGAACTTAAAACCCGTTGTTGCTTGTTTGGCCACCCAAGGTGCCTTGTCACAAGTCGACGCCAACCACAG